AGGCGTTGGAGTACAAGGTGCACGTCAGCGATGTCAAGATTGGTGGCCGCGTGCTCGTTGCGGAAGACGATGACAACGATGCCGCTGAACCACAGGAATCTAGGGGTCTCCTCAGTCCCTGGAGTCCAATACACAACGCCATCGACGCACTAGACTCGCCTTTCTTCCCTCAATCCGATCGCGTCATCGACAGGGACAGCGGCATAGACCTCGAAGGTCTCGAACACATGGATCATCACAGCGACCATTCTCGTGCAGCATCACCCACGGACGACGGACAAGATCAGTCTAGGAGTCCTGTCAAAGAATTCCGTCCCAAACTACCCGGTACATGGATCTCCTACGCAACGACCCGCGAGTCCGACCTCAAGAAACACGAGACCCTGAGTCCCCTCGGTTCGCCCTTCGAAGAGCGAATCAGATACCTCCACGCGTCGATTGACGCTCTGGAAGCATCTTCATAACCACACATACGCACGCACGCACGCATGCACAGCTCACACTTATCTCTCTCTTGCTTTGCTCAACTTTGCACATACCCAGCTTTTTTCTCACTTCATCTTGCATGCATAGGGCACAACGGCGTTACACCATAAAGGACATTTTGCATTTTCCACCTTACTTCCAACCCGGCGCACAACGGCACAATGCGTCGAATGCGATTTCGACGCCCCCCACGACCATTTCCTTTGTCTTTCCTTTTCACGGCCGCGATACTATACATATACATACTCTCGTTCAACTCCATAATGTTTTTGAATCTACGGCCTACGTCAACAATCTTGGAAAAGATATTGACGTTTCGCTGTTTTTACTTGGGCTCGTGTCTACGCGTGTTGTGTGCACAAAGTCAGTTCGGTTTTTATGATACCCCCCACAACTACTACTACTACTACTCAGTTGCGAGAGAGAGAGTTTATATTGAAAATCTTTACATAGCCAATATACGTCGCTTTACACTTTGGAAGAACCTTGTTGGGATTTAGTGTTGCATGTGCTTGAAGGTTATCGGGATGAGGTCGTTTTAACGCGTTACGTTGCTTAAGTTTAGGTTTGGCACCCACGTGAGTACAACACTTTGCTTCATCACATGACCGTCTCTGCCGTGAATCTCCGGATGACTTTGTTTCCGATAGCCAGGCGTGTACAGAGTAATGGCAACATTCTTAACGTCAACTCAAGTGTCGATCAGAGAGAAAAATGAAGAATTTGTGCTTCCATTAAGGCATGATAAAACCCCGTCTATGTATGAAGCAGGCCTAGTGAATCCCATTAATCCATGATACATCCCATCTACCGAAGTAGGCAATAAGTTAGCACAGAAGCCAGCCTTGATCTACGGGTATCCGAACAAAGAAAGAAGCAGTGGAAAGTAGTACTGTAACAATTCTGAAAGGTGCAAGACACGAGAAGTGAAGATGGTTTTAAGCCCAGTAACCGAGCAGAGCCATCAAACCTGGGGTTCCGTTAGTATAAAGTCGACAGTATGGCGCACGGACAAGACTTACCAGCACCAAGAACCATAAGCCCAAACGCCTTAAGCGTCCTACTAACAGGCCCCTTCTGCATATACGGGCTGAACATAAACTCATGCGCCATAAGCTCCACAAGACCCGTGTAGATAAGAATACCAGCGGAGATGGAATCGAAAACACCATTCGTCAACAGGGTAGTCTTGCTCTCAGGCGCAAAAGACTGGCGCACGCCCAGACCAATAGCAATGGCAATGGGGGTCGAGATACCGTAGCCGAGACCAAGGAAGTACGGGGTCCAGCGCTTGGACGCGGGCCAGGGGACTTCTGCAAGACGGGTTCCCAGACCGAGGCCTTCGAACATTTGGTGGAAGACGAGGACGATGTAGAGGGTGATGAATTCCTCGCCGGCTACGGCAAGGGTGAGGCCGATGAAGATGGAGTGGAAGATGACACCGAATTCGAGGATGAAGACGGCGGTTAGTTGCGAGGCGTAGCCGTCTGGGACGAGGGGACGGGGGGCCATGTCGGACTTCAGCTCGGCTTCATGGTCGCGTTGGTGGCCGAGGTGGTCGTCGCCGCGGATGTTGTGGTTGCCGCTGCTGCCTCCGGTGCTACCCTCGAGGTCGTGGGCTTTGTCGTCAGCGTGGGCGGCTGGGGAGATGCCAGTGGGTTCGTGGCTGTGACTGTGGTCGTGGTCGCTGCCGAACTTGGCGTAACGCATTGTCATGAGCTCGAGGAAGAACATGAGAAAGAGCGTCATCAGGGCAATGCCCTCGGGCCAGGGGTACTTGGCGATAACACCGGTCAGACATTCGTTACCAAGTGCCTCGTTTGCTGGGGCCAGGAGATGGATGAATGCCGTTGTGATGATGACGCCTGAACCGAAGTACTTGGCGGCGAAGAAGACCCAGTTGGGCACCAGCTTGCTACGGGAACGTCTTGCTAGAACGGGGAACATGGCACCTGTGCGATGTTAGCATGCGAAGATCGGCAAGGTTTCTTGTACACACCGAAGCTGGATGCTACCAGGATGACGAAGATGGATGAGATACGGGTGCCCATGCGGCCATCGTACTCGTTGTCGCCGCCGCAGGTGATGACCTCCTCAGGTTGTGACTCTGCGCCGTCATCTTGACGGAGCACAAGGCGTGCAATATCGAGGGCGGTAGAAGCCATGTTGATGGGTAGAACACTGGCAACTGAGTGAAGAATAGCGATAGTACGGAAGATTCGCTTGATGCAAATCTAGACAAATGTGCTTCAATACTGTCGATCTCTGGTTGGCGTGGACCCGAGTGACCCAGATGTTTGGTAATGGTTCAGTGGAGAAGCAACCCTTGGGAGAAGCTTGGTTCGGCTGGGCGTGTCTTGTGCAGTCTTGGGTAACAACAAGCACTATATATTGGATCCTTTGGACGCAATCAAGCACCTTGATGGACAGGTAGAAATGCTTGACGGTGCTTTGATGGGTCTTCAGGAAGGATTCACGGAGTACGGAACTGGTTGGACGTGTGAAGGCGGGCGATATACCAGAAGGGTCTTACTCAGAGTACCCTGATGGCACGCTAAGGGCGAATATTCCACTGGTGCATAGCTTGCAGAGCCTATGGGGTCCAGTATAGCTGTCACCCGTGGGGGAAGGCGTATGTAAAGTGCTTTCGAGAGCGCGCTGAACGTGGGACTTTTTCAATCATGGTGTTGGTGTGGCATGTGCGACGCTGCGGTTGTTACGATGCGGCGAACGTGCGTTCAGTAGCAGTCAGCCGCAATCCTAGGCCCGATTCCACTTACTTGAACTAGGGCCTGCCGAAACCTCAACAGGCCCACGTCTACATCAATCTCTGAAGCCGCATTGCCGCATGCCTCGACCGAGGGACATGAAGGCGGCAGCGCGATGCCCGTATTACACGACCTGGGCCCTCGTTCAAATACGAGACGGGCTGGAATAGACGCAGTGGTTCAAAGACGAGAGTGTCTGGTCGCCGGCGTCGCGCGGTACTGCAGGATGCGGTGCATCTATTACAGACACTGATGGAAAATACTTGACGGGTTCCTGGCTGGAACGAAAAGTTGAAGTCGCTACTTGCGCGCATTCGATGCTGAACTTGGAGTGCAACGGCGCAATCATTCCGACTCTTCCGAATTCCGAATGACAGTTCCTTACGATGCAGGCGCCCAGATCAGAAGGTACGATCAAGCTGGCGCTTCGAAATTGCTGAAAGATCTTGAAGGACAATTCCGAGCCGTGCCGGAACCTTGACAAAGAAGATTACTTTGACGACAGCCAAAAAGAGGAGGCGGGCTACGCGGTGGTGAGACTTGCAAAGCCATCAAGTACCGAGCAGGTAGCCGACAAGGCCTGACAGGCTTGCGCGAAGATCTGTACATATTGGTGAAGCGGTGGAAATCTTCTGTTCAGCTGATGAGGCTGTCGCGATGTACCTACTTGGCGCATTGCCAGATACAACGTACAAGGCTGTCGATCTACGCAGGTCGCAGAACCACTTGTAGCAGGTAACTGCATCTAGGTTTGACCGGCCGCGCTGATGTGAGGGTGTACAGGCGTATGCACTCCGCCTTCTCCGCACTGCCGCGTGATCCGGTGACATGTACCTAGGTATTGTCTCAACACATGAGGTGATGGACAGCGATGCGCGTCTACAATGAAGAGTCGTCTGGGATGCTGGCTATAAAGTGCAAAGCTATGCACTTCGGGCCGTTCGGCTGTCGAGTAGCTCTGGATGGTTGGTCCACATCACACCACCGTGAGGGGCTGTGGACTGACGGAATGTAAAACGCGCGCCAATGTACAGCGGGCGGGGTCGCGTCGCATATACTCGGAGTACAGCTCGATGGGCATGGCGATGTCAGCAAACTCGATAGAATCGAGGCGATCGTGGGACCCATCCATGAGACACATGCCGGCGCACGGAGGAGGAGATCGAAAAGTTAATACAATCGGTGGTACTGAAACCGGTTTGCCAGGGCTAGAATGGGAGCAGTGGGAGCAGCTGGGGGCGTGCACAGCGCGTTGCTGTGGGGAACATCCTGGACGGCTTGGCGTGATGAAGCACTGATGATGTACCAAAGTACCTCGCGCCAGCCAGCCCGCCCCACCCCACGAGAGCGCTCAATGTCGCAACCACATGGGCAGAGTGAGTGAATTGACAGCCAGCTTGACAGCGCTGCCATGATTACAACATGTTCGCGCAGCCGGCGGAGACCCTTATTCTGAAGCTCCAGGCGCAGAGCTGGCGTTGGCGCATCCTTGCTTCTCACGCAGGCCGTAGCGGGAACCAATCAATAGTGCATGCCGTGAGGGGCTATGACGTCTCGATTCCTGTTTCGTATAGCTCCTGCCGCAGCTCCAACAGGTGACCGCATAGCTGCCTAGCTTCTCCTCTTTATAACTCCGCCTCGTCTCACCCTCTTCCTGCTTCTCATTGTCAACTCTCCCATAGATCCCTCAGCACCAATTGTTGCTGTACAGGTCCCGGAGTCCCATCACAACACCAAACCGCCATCATGATTGAGGAAGTCTTGAAGAAGACCTCGGAGATGTTCCCGCTGCCCACCGCGACGGCCTCGTCGCTGCCTTCGGTTGCTCCCATCCCAACCGTCGCCCCCGGACCTGAGCCCACCTACGAGGTTGCCGGCGATGCTGGAATGAAGACCCTCTGGGTCGTCTTCGTTCTCATGCTGATCGCCTCTGCCGGTTTCACCGTCATGTCCTGGAAGGTGCCTTTGGTGAGTACCATCTGGAGCTACTCCAGACAGCAGATTCTAACAACCCCCAGAACAAGCGCCTCTACCATGTCATCACCACCATCATCACCCTCACCGCTGCCCTCTCCTACTTCGCCATGGCCTCCGGCGCTGGTGTCTCCCTCAAGAAGGAGGTCGAGCGCGAGCAGCACGACCACGTCCCCGACACCTACAACGTCGTCTACCGCCAGGTCTACTGGGCCCGTTACGTCGACTGGACCATCACCACCCCTCTCCTGCTCCTCGACCTCGGTCTCCTTGCTGGCATGTCTGGTGGACACATGATCATGATGGTTGTTGCCGACATCATCATGGTTCTCACTGGTCTCTTCGCTGCCTTCGGTACTGAGGACACTGCCCAGAAGTGGGGCTGGTACACCATCTCGTGCATTGCCTTCCTCTTCGTCTTCTGGCACCTTGGCCTTAACGGTGGTGCCAACGCCCGCGCCAAGGGTGACAAGCTCCGCGGTTTCTTCATCTCCATCGCTGCCTACACCGCCGTCCTCTGGACTGCCTACCCCATGTAAGTCTCATCAATACCCACGCCTCCCGATTTTATGCTAATCCGTTCAGTGTCTGGGGTATTGCCGATGGTGCTCGCAAGGCCAGCGTCGACACTGAGATCATTGCCTACGCTGTCCTCGATGTCCTCGCCAAGGCTGTCTTCGGTGCCTGGCTCTTGGTTGCCCACGCCAACATGCGCGAGAGCGATGTTGAGCTTAACGGCTTCTGGGCCAACGGTCTCAGCCGCGAGGGTGCCATCCGCATTGGTGAGGATGACGGTGCTTAAATGTACCTCATCAGCACAAATGTCTTACTCTTGTGAGCATGTCAGCTGTGTCATAGCACGAGTACAGATTGATTCGACAAGCATGGTTCACCTTGACTAAGAGGGCCGGAACCAGTGGCCAAGATGGAAAAAGCGTACGCGGCATGTTCAGCTTCTGACTGTCCTTTAGGCAGTATCTCTCCTCAATGATGTAACTTTCTCATTACCGGAGTTGGAGGCTTGTCAATAGTCACGGGATTGGACGCCCACAATATGGACGTTTCATAGTTAATGCGATAATGATATTGATCTCGAACTCTCTTCCATATGAATCCGTGCCGGCTTACCGCCGAGCTCTTCTAAGCTGCCGCACCAGTACAATGAACAATACGAGTGATGTAATTTAGCCCTTTAACCCTTTGACCTCATTTCATCTCACTTAGTGAGATGTCTTGTTCAGATGTCTATATAGTTGGCATGCTTGGCTCGTTGTTGAAGTCACCCAACATCGATACCTTCCAGCATCACCAAGACCAACCATGTTCTCATCACTCTTCTCCGTCGCTGTCGCAACTCTCTTGATGCAATCAGCATCCTCATCGCCTCTCACAACACCACCTCCTTCTCTCTCGCCTACCCCATCGCCTACACCTTGCACCAAGACTGTCTTCACATTCCCTGATATCCAAGTCGGAACCTGTACCTTTAACGCCACAACAACGACGTCTACTGTCTTCACCGACTGTGCCGGATGTGCGCTTGAGACGATTAACCTTGGTGGTCTTGGACCGGTACGTACCCTTCTATACTATTCTGGCTATTGGTGGATCTAGTAAGCTGACTGTGGTGGTTGTTTGTGTAGGCGTGCGCCGCTGTTACGACGGTTCCTGGAACGAAGACTGAGACTGTTACGGCTTGTCAGTCGGCTTAGGTTGAGATGAGTGTGAGGTGGTAGGTGGTGAATGATGGTCGGTCTTTTTCTTGTAGCTAGTTTCTTTGGTGATGATCTTTAGTACATAGGATATTGTATACAACGAATATGCCTATGCTCCTCCATTCCTCTCCTCCAAAGCTATCTGTGACTGTTCTACTCATCCAAACACTCACCCATATTCCAAACAGATGACAGAAGTTTACTATAGTTAGCATTGACGTTGGTTGTACATACAGGCTGTTCTCGTGTAGATTCAGCTTAGCGTGTTTGTCGTTTAACTAGCAGTAAAGCCGCCCCAACGCCGTAATTACCCACTCATGCACTTGCGCCCCAGATGATCGACCGCAGGTTGTAGCTGCCCAAGCTATGGGTCCCCCCATCTGTACTGCAGCCTCACAACTGCGACGCTGCACCTTTCGGCGCCTTGAACGAGAAAAAAACGTAAAAAGACTCATCCGCCGCCATCGTGACATCAGGCGGCTGGGGTGCATGGACTCTCTGGCGGTCAGGTACGAGCTTCCGGCTGACGCGAAAGCGAAATCAAGGCAGTGGCTGTGTACCTGGATGACCCCACGAACACGATCAAGGGTACGAAGGGTACGAAGGATGAATGACAGCTGTTGCCATGGCAGAATGTCAGATGGATGAAATGGTCGGGAGATCAATGATGTTTTGTTTGTCGCTCATCCGGCGTGGGTAGGTGACGGCCGTCACACACCTGACGCGCTTCCAAGGTTTGCTCATGCAGGGATGTGCGGCTGCCCCGCAACCAAGCCGCGGTCGGGGTGGTGCGGTGCAACGTGATGGGGAGGGAGCTTGGAAGCTCAGGCAGGCACCCGACAGCTCCAGCTTGCTTTGCTGCCCTGAACGTGCGGACAAGTACAAGTACCTGGGAGTTAGCCCGTACCTGCAGCTTCACGAGTTCCCTTTTGATCACACCCACACCTGCTTGAACTACTTACCACTTGCTCGACTTACTTACTTACTCACTCAACCTCGATATCGACGAGCGAACTGACGGATTAACAACATCATGGCGACTGAGGATATCAAGAACGAAAGCGCGACTGAGGTCATCGTCGACGAGACACCCATCTCGCCCGTTCGCTCTCTGGACCGCCGGAACAGTTTGGAGAAACATTTGCAGCATAGGCCTGAGCCGCAGGACCTGAAGAACAGACATATCCTGCTGGATACCACGACTGCTCCGTATGTTCCCTCCACCCTTCCACCTCCTCCCATTCCCCTTCTCCCACCCCATCCCCCCCTCTCCCCACTTCACACCAAGAGCCCCGCTAACGCGGGACACGTACCAGTGCCCTCCAAGCCAAAGCCCTCGAACTCGAGCGCCAACGCGCAACCGACCAACTCAAAAAAGGCCTCAACGCCCGCCCCGAACGCGCCGACCTCATCGAGCGCAACATCCTTCCTGCCTCCAACGCCGCGCCCGCACTGCAGGGACACCAGAAAGAACTCGATATGCATATGCGCGCGGATAATCTGGAGAAGGGGTTGCAGTCCAGGCCGAGCCCGGAGGAGCTGGTTAAGAAGGGGATCTTGGATGAGGGGGAGGTTGGTGGGGAGTAGGGGGATGTGTGAGATGGGTGGTGTACAACGATGCGAGAATGCATTCGGCGTTGGTGGGGAGGTGAGATGGGAATTGTACGGTTTTTTGCTTCGGCATTGAGTACCTACCTGCATAGTATATATATCACGAATTATGGAATGTTTCTTGCTTATACAGTCATTTAGTAGCGTTCGCATCTCACACACCCTCACCATCACAATTTCTAGGTCACAAACCCCAAGAATCTGTGCAAAGAGCGGCACGAAGCCCATGACTTCATTACAACATGTCTAGGCTAACAGAGCGACAGCCAGCCGCCTAGCTAAACCCAAACAGTAAATAAACCAGCGAACATCAATCATCCCGAGACCAGTCATCTAATGACCGACCTTCTCCTCCCTGACCACGGTCGCATTCTTAGCATCCATGTCATCAGCGTGGTTCTCACGGTCCGCCTCCATGTTCTTGACCAACTCGGTGATACCGAAGAGGTCGTCCATCTTCTCGAGGGACAGGCCCTTGGTCTCGGGGATGAGGAACCAGACGAAGATGAACATGGAGAAGCAGAAGGCGCCGTAGGTGAAGAAGGTGCCGTAGCCGCCTTGGCCCATGGTGGCCATCATGTTGGGGGTTGCGCGCGCGACGACGAAGTTGAAGAGCCACTGTGGGGGTTTGTTAGTATGTGTTTTTATGTGGAGGGAGGAGTGTTGGGATTAGGGTTACGACATACCTGTGTAGCAGCGGCGATGGCAACGTTGAGGGAGCGGAGACGAGCGGCGGGGATCTCAGACACGTAGATCCAGCATACGGGGCCCCAACCGAATTGGAAGAACAGGGCGAAGAGGAACACGCAGACGAGAGCGAAGTATCCGGCTCCTGGTACGGGTTCGCCCATGATGGGCGGGTCGACGCGCATGTAGATGCCGATGTAGAACATGGCCATTCCCTGTGCAATGGATGTCCAGAGGAGCGAACGGCGGCGACCGAGAGAATCAGCGGCGAATATGAGGAAAGCGAAGCAGCCGACCATCTTGACGATACCGTAGATACCTGTGGCGAAGAGCTTGACGGAATTGCCCTTGAGACCGAGGGCGGCGAAGATCTGGGGCGCGTAGTAGTTGATGGCGTTTGTTCCCGTCATCTGCTGGCAAATCATGAGACCGATGGAGATGAGTGCGCGCTTCCGGTTACCGGGGATAGTAAACATCTCTTTGAGAAGGTCCTTGACGCTTGCACCCGCAACGAGCATACGCTCGTGTTCAAGCTGGTCGGCGATATCCTTGATTTCGTCCTGGACGTAGGCGTGCGAGTGCGGTAGGTTGCGCATGCGAGCAAGCACTGTGGTAGCCTCCTCCCATTTATCCTGCTTAGCGAGGAAACGAGGGGATTCCTTGTTCAGCGCCATGCAGCCGACGAGGAGAACGGCGGGGAGAGCCTGGAGAGCAAGAGGAACGATGTAGACTTGAGCGCCGCCGGAGAGATGCATGAGGGAGCCGTAGTTGACCCAGAAGGCGAGGCAGGTTCCTGTGGCGATGAAGAGTTGGTAGAGACCGGTGAGACCACCACGGATACCACGGGGTGCGTTTTCGGAAATGTACAGAGGGACGACCATGGAGGCGCCTCCTACACCTAGTCCAGCGATGAAGCGGCCGACGTACATGGCGGCGAGAGCGCCCATGGCTACGGCTTGGATGATGCAACCGACGATGGTGACGAGACCGGCGATTTGGAGGGCGGTCTTGCGGCCCCAGCGGTCGGCTACCCATGAGGCGATGAAGCAGCCGGCGAAACATCCGGCTTGGAGGGTGGAAGCGATGTTAGCGTTCAGGTTGGCTTTGCCGACTTTGTCGAGGTTGGTGATGTTGTATTTGCTGGGAGGATTGTCAGTGTCGTGAGATGATAAGAAAATAACAAGAGACACTCACTCCTGGAACTCCTTCAATTCAAGCACACCTCCAATGGTTCCGATATCGAAACCAAACAACATGCCACCAAAACAGGCGGAACCCGCCATGGCGAAAGCGCGCCATCCGTAGATCTCGTGAGGGTCGGATTTGATGGAGTCGTTCTTGACGATCATGCGAATAAACTTCGCGCCGGTGGATGGAGCTGCCATGATGTCGGGTAGATTGGGGGATGCTACCGTGTCGGTGGGAGTATAGATCTATCTTATCGTCAGTATGTATGACGCAAGGAGAAGCTGTTGAAGGACATAAGGACCGAATACATACCGACAGACAGAACGATCAAACCACAAGCTTGACCCTAGACCAGACGCTGGTGTATATCACACCAGGTGTCGTTCGAAGAGAATAGCGAGAGAAGAGTGAAGATCTCCGCAGATTGCTGGTCTAAAAAAGCTCCCCAGTGGGATGTGCATGGCCATGATATATAAACAGCCAGACGGTACAGCGGCCCATGCGCCATCCTCGCAGCACTAGCTCCTTGCTCAAGACGGGGTAACTCGCCTGGTCCGTCACCGCGGTCTTTGCCCCATGGCTGGCCTGCAAGCTATCGTGATCCTCCATTAACCCCGGACTCAAGACCCCAGACTCCACGTTTCCACACTGCTCTTTCTCTCCACACACTGCGAGAGCTGCTGCCGCTAGCCACACAGACAGGGTACCGAGAGCATCAGATGAACGTCCCTTTGTGGCTCCGGCCAATGGGGCACATGCAGGACGAGCGCCGCACTCTGTCGAAGCATGCTTGGTAGTGAGATAGGCTTGGCTCGGCGGAAAGCACGCGGTGGGATTAGTGGGAGCTATGAAAGGCCGTCTTGGAAGTGCCAAGTCCTGCTCTTTTTCCGTCCAATTGACGGCTGGGTGGCGTTGCGAGTTGGATTGCATATCAAAGGGTTGCCAAGAGTAATATCTCCAGGTTCCATCACGGTCTGGGGTCTCCCCCCGCTGTCCTTCCGTTTTCTTGCGGGGGCGTGGAATGGGAAGCAACGGCCTGCGACCTTTCCGTCTTGGGCAAGGTGAGTAATCCGACACATGTCTTCTCCCCCGCTGAGGAAGGCGCTACGGTTGTTGTGGCTATTTATCCGCGTATTAGACCTGCGATGGGGTCGGGGCGAGGGATGCCCCACGGCCGCGCCGACGCGTGATGGGTCGAGGACGAGGCGTTGTGGATGACTTGTGGAGAGGAACGGTTATGGACGTCTGTGGCCTGTCGAATTTGGTCGTGGGGTGCTGGTCTACTTGTCTACTTTGTATGTGTTCAGGCTGATGAGAGAGGGTTCGGGATTGTGTTGGTACGATCTTGCACCGAGGTTGCGCATCACCAATACGTTGCATCCGTCACTTAAACCCAACAACCCCACAAACAAGAGCAACAGCGTCAAGCATTGGAAAGACTGTGTGTCTGTGATTGTGCTCGACGACGGCGAAATCGAATACCGGAACTGGAGTCAAGCCTTTCGCCTCAGTACGCCCAATCCGCTGCCTGCATCTTGTTCTACCGTCTTGGGGTTCTGGGCTCCTGGGCATTAATCGGCTGCGCTTAACACCACCAATACGCATCCACCCTCATCTTACATCAAGATTCTTCCAGGCCAAACTCATCGCCAAGGAAGCCTGAACATAATCGCCCGCGCAGCGGAGATAGCGGAACACGGAAGTTGGCGTTGCGATATCCACCGTCAAGTCAGTGATCGTCACGTATTGTTGTCAAGCCACTCGCAGAAGCAAATACCGTTAGGTCACACGAAGCATGGCGGCGAAGACGGCAAACGCCAATCGGGCGTTCAACCTCCATCCTTTCTCCACGAATCCGCTCAAGTCGCGCGACGATGTCGTTGCCGCTGTGGGCTCACTGCTGGATCCCCTCATTCCGGGTTTCTCACCCAACAATGCTTTGATCAAAGTAGGCAGCACAGGTACACGCTTCGATGAGACAGGTGCGCAGGTCGAAGGCTTTGCTCGCCCGTTATGGGGTCTTGCGCCTCTGTTAGCTGGGGGTAACAAGTATGCTGCAACGGACAAGTTCGTCCAAGGCCTCATTTCTGGGACGGATCCTGAGAGTCCGGAGTTCTGGGGGTATATGGAGGATACGGATCAGAGGATGGTGGAGGCGTGTCCCATTGGATTCACGCTTGCGGTTGCGAATAAAGAGTTTTGGGATCCGTTGACGGAAAGGCAGAAGAAGAATGTAGAGACGTGGTTGGGGAGTATGAATGATAAGAAGATGCCGGATACGAACTGGTATGATGGTCCTTTGGTTCCTTTACATTTGTCCTGTTACATGTAATAGGGTGTGATATTAACATTCTGTCAGGCTCTGGTTCCGCGTCTTCGCCAACCTGGGACTCGAAAGGAATGGGGCTAAGTGGTCGAAAGAGCAGCTCGAGAAAGACATCAAACAGCTGAACACGTACTACCGCGGCGACGGCTGGTCCAACGACGGACCTGATACGTACCGCCAGATGGACTACTACTCCGGCTCCTTCGCGATCCAATACCTACAACTCCTCTACTCCAAACTCGCCGCAGACATCGACCCAGAGCAAGCTGCAGAGTACAAAGAGCGCGCACGCATGTACGCCCAAGACTTCGTACACTTTTTCGACCCCGAAGGCCGCGCCATCACCTTCGGCCGCTCACTGACATACCGTTGGGCCATGGTCGCCTTCTGGGGCGCAATCGCATACGCAGACCTCGAGCTGCCCGCTCCCCTCTCCTGGGGCGTAGTAAAAGGAATCTGGATGCGCAACCTACGTTGGTGGACAACTCAACACGACATTTTTCAATCCAACGGCATGCTCACGGTAGGCTACTCGTACCCCAACTACTACCTCGCGGAGAACTACAATTCGCCTCAAAGCCCGTACTGGTGCATGCTCGCCTTCGCCTGTCTCGCAGTACCCGAATCCCACCCCTTTTGGTCCGCGAAAGAGGAACCGCATCCATATGCCAACACACGCGTTGTGCGTCCGCTACCTCACCCCCGCCAAATCGTCTGCCGCTCAGGCGGCCACAGCTTCCTGCTTTCCAGCGGCCAATCCTGCCACTACGCCATCAAAAACAGCAACGCAAAATACGGAAAATTCGCCTACAGCGCCGCCTTTGCCTACTCCGTTTCCACCGGCTACCAGGAACTCGAGCAATTCGTGCCAGAATCCCAACTCGCCTTCTCCGACGACGGAGGCGAGCTGTGGAAGATGCGAAGAGCGCTGAACGGGGACTCGTCGATTGAAAACTTCGATGGCGTGCCCGTGCTGGTGTCGAGTATGAAGCCTTGGGGCGATGTGGAGATTACGTCGTATCTTGTGCCGCCGGCGGAAGAGACGCCGAACTGGCATCTCCGCGTCCATCGTGTGACGTCTGGTCGTGATATCAAGAGCGCAGAGGGTGCATGGGCTGTGTACGGAGCTCGCGAATCAGACGGTCGTCTTCTTACTGAATGGAACGGCACACTGCGTACACTAGACACGTCCATCCCCGAGGGCGGCGCTTCAGACTCCACATCCGCGTTTGCGGCTTCGCCTCGTACGGGTGCAGTGGGTATCGCGGATGTTTACCAGACGAAGCGCGAGGGAAGCGTGATTCTTGCAGATGCGAATAGTAATCTGCAGGAGAGTAGGACGGTATTGCCGGTTCTGCAGAAGGATGTTAAGAAAGGGGAGACGGTGTGGTTTGTTACGGCGGTGTTTGCTATGCCGGCTAGTAAAGAAGGGTGGAGGGAGAGTTGGAAGGAGGGCTGGGAGAAGAGACCGGCTGTGCCGGGGTGGGTGAAGAGTTTGATGGAGAAGTAGAGTGGTGTGTATGTTTCTGGTGTGGCTGGTTGTTAGGTAGTCTTACCTAAAACGGACCTGTTGTATGGAAATATGCTTCTCGGCTTTCCAATCTCGTGGGTTCATGGAGTGTATAACGATGAAGTTTGTGTTGGTGAAGTTGTAATGAGTACACACAGCTACATGTACGCTATCGTTCATGTGCTCGACTGATATAAGTAGAACTTACACGGATACAACAAGGATGCACCTTCACCACGTATAATCCACGATGCGAAAAGACTAGTGTACCCTATCATTATGGAGCCTTTTCCCTACATGCAATCTTTTGCTTTTGATACTATACCCCAGCCCATGAAAGAAACAAGACAAACGAAAACAAGGGTATATCCAGGCCGAGACATTTCCAAATCCAATGCATGCCAAATTTTCCTTTCCGCCACTCCGACCTAACCCCAACCTCACGTATCCCACGTCCCCCTCTCCCTCACGCGTCTCGCATCCCTCCTCACACCCGCATTCGCACCCGCACCCGCACCCCTCCCACCATCCCTCCCCCCAAACCCCTCATCCTCAAAATTCATAACCCGATACCCATCCCCCAACACCGTACTCTCCCTCCCATCCCTCCACGTCCCCATCCCGCCATCCCCATCCATCCGTCTATCCCTATTACTCTCATTATACCCCGGCGGAACCGGCCACTGCATCTCTCCCTCCCCCTCCCCATGTCCCTCATCCCCTCCCGCACCAAACGGATAGTGGCCTATGTCTGTTGTCAAACTAGCTGTATGGCTGCGTGAGTTGGTGTGCAGGGATAAGGGCGGTGGGAGGAGGGAAGCTTGTTGCCGGTCTATGAAGTCGTTGGTGTGGTGGCTGGGGGTTGAGTAGTCGGAGTCTGTGAGGAGGAATGTGGCGTCTAGGCGGGAGGTGCTTCGTTGGGAGGGGTGTTGGCGGTCGCGGTCGCGGTCGCGGGAACGGGGGCGGGTGTTGGCGTGGGAGTTTGGGAGAGGAGGGAGGGCGAGGGAGTCTAGGCGGGGTGGGGAGTAGGTGTCGTTCCTGTTGATGTTGGTGATGTCATTGCCGTTGTTGTTAACTCGATCCCTCGCTGCCCTTGGTCCGAACGTCTCGCCTTGTAATCGCGGTTTGCGGTCGTGGAATTCATCCTGGATAACCTTTTCGTTTTCGCGGCGCCGTTCAAATTCTTGCCTGAAATGTACACCCGCGTTGTGGGACAGGGAGAGGTTATTAATCTTCTCGCCGAGCCGACGAATGTCGTTTTGCATCAACGTTGCACCGTCGAGATTATGCGAAACTGCAGTCGGAGGCGGCGGCGGAAGAGCGTGTCGAGGCGGTGGACTGGGGAAATTATGCGCGGATATCTCGGCACGTCGTGCTTCTTGGTGATCATGGTGGTTCGTACGCTCGCCCGCGTTGGTTGATGTGGCCTCGAGTTCTACGGGTGCGGACTGCGCCGGCATGGGGTCCCAGGCGCGCTGCCAGCACCAGGATCGTTGTTGACGGGCTTCTAGGTGCTCAATCTGACCGTTGCTTACCCACTCGGGCATGCGCTTTAGATCGGTGTTGAGGAAGGAGCGGACGCCGTCGGTGTGTCTGAGGCCCTGGACGTCGACGGATAGGGTTGAGAGGACTTGGAGGATACCGTAGAGGAGGACCCAGCGTCCGAGACGGGCTTCGCGTGGTGACATGTGTTTCAGGTCGGTGGTGAGCTCAAACTGTTCAAACTTGTCGATAAGTGTGGATCCTATCGAATGTCAGTGCATGTCATCAATTGGCAGTCGTGTGTCAATTACCGTTGAAGTTGACGTCCAGCTTCTCAATATTCGTTGCATCGCTGAAGATGATGGAGAGCTGCAGCTGTGCCTTCGCGTCTTTCGTAGCATCCTTGGGTTTGTCCTTCTTCAACGACGAAAAGAAGCTTTTCTTCTCCTTGTCTTTACTCGTCTTTGGCACTTCTCTTGGGAGTAACGGGTACGGATGTGGGATATGTGCATACCCATTTTTCGCATCGTAGGTGACCAGCATTTCTGTCATCCCCAGCTCTGGAAGGTCTGCCCTGAAGCTGTCGTTCTTCCTATGGGCCATTTCCCACTTACGGGAGGCCCGCTCTTCTCGAGGATTCCATATCACCTCCCTATCGACGAAGTAATCATACAGCGAACCAAAGTCTTCTTGCATGGCATTTACAACCTTGCGATTAAGCCACGTCTTGTCGGAATTCGGCGGCCAGTTGCCGTAGATGCGCGTGAAATGCCCGATAAGGAACTGGCGAAACGATTGATAGCTTTGATAGACTGGAGTGTTCGCGGTCTTCAACCTGTCCTCCCAAAGATCACCGAAATCAAACGTTGACAGCTTCTCCTCGGCTTCCATGACGCGCAACTGCAGTGTCTTGGCAGCCAACCCAAGGTTCCGCCTTGTGACTACTGACAGTCGCTTGAAATCTGGATGATCCTCAATTTCCTGCGTCATGACACCAGCCAGGTGAACAAAGCTTTCGAGGTAGCCCTGTCGCCACTTGACGCTATCCTGTTCTGCCCAAGCCAGAAGCCCTAGAGCTCGTCGGATGTTGTTGCGCAGGTCGTCAATTCCATACCGGCCTAGATATTCCACAATCATCTGCACGCTTCGTTCCCTGGCTGTCATTCCAGACCGCGTGTCTGTGTCAAGATCGTACATGACGTGTATTTGAGGTTGCAGCGTACTCAACATATCGAACACGTCGGATCCAACTATGGGTTTTCCGTGCAACATGGCCAGGAAATTACGGATAGCAACATGGTGCAATCTTTGTGCCTGTGGTGTTTTCACGTTGTCAGGCGCAGTAAACCATATCTCATGGGTTGGATTGCGTTGGAAGCCCTGCTGGAAAGGAGGCGGTGAGTTAGGTTGGCGTCCATGAGAGGCCTCGGATGGATGGTAAGCCCGAGAAGTAGCCCGAGAATCTATACTGGTATGCGACTGATCGATGTCGAAGGGCGGTGGAGACCGTCCACCGGGTGATGTGGGCCCTAGCATTCGTCGTTGTGCTGGCTGTGGGAAATTCGGCGAGAAAGGCTGAGATGGTGAACTTGCATTTTCCGAGAGAGCCCAGTCATCCACGTCGTTATCATCGATGAGACTATACAGCAGGGCATTGCTCAGCCAGGTGGATCCCGAGCTTTGGAGGATATCCAAGTCTGCCCGAATCGAGGGGATTGGGTGGTCCTCGTCTACTTCCTCTTTGAAGTATATGAGTACGCTGCCGTGTTGCATATCTTCGTCATAGCTAAACCCGGCGTATGGACGCAGTTCTTCTCTTCCGTCGGTCCATATCTTGAAGTTCAACCAAGTTTTCTGGTCAGGCGGAAGAGCGTAGGAACCCGCTGACGACTCAGATCTGAAGACGGGAGGGCCAGGTGACGGCGCGACGGTCTTCTTGATCGGCACTCCTCCGCCTCTACCACGAGGCGCCTTTGTGTCTTTGCCCTTTGCCTGATATTTTATCTTCTCTTTGCCTTTTGAAGATGTGTCTGAGACTGACTCTGCCTTCGATGATTTCGTTGGCGGAGGTCGGGATCCAGAGGAGACGTCAGACGGAAGGGTGGCTAGTCGCGGCCTGCTACCATTTCCGCCATCGTGCGTAGAACTACTCCGAGATGTCGTATGGCTGTTGTTGCTGGATACTGTGAAGGAGCGTGTTATGCCACTTCTCGGATTGCTGGGGTTTGGTGATGGACGCCATTCCGCAAATCCATCTCGGCTTTCCTGTGTGGCTTCTGGCACCTTTCCTTTTACAGCAATTTTCTTTTCCTTTTTCTCAACTTCTTTCTGTTGTACCTTGCGACTACGAGCGCCTCTTGCTGACATGTCCTCTTGAAGTCGATAGCAAAACTTCGATCGGCGACAGGCTGGATGACTTGTTCAGACAATGTCGTTTGATATTTCCAATACACCCAAGGTTCTATCAGTTCCTGGCATGGGCTTCGAAAGATTAAGAGATACGTCGGGAGGCAGTGGAAATTGGCTTGGAGTATGCTGGGGTTCGCTCCCTCGTATATTCGGATGAATGCTATTTTTGCCGCGTGAATCCAGACACGGAAAGAACGAGATGCGCCGGCTGAGAACGTGGTCGTACTTGATTAGAAAATGACGGCTGAAAGAGTGTGCAATGGCATCAAAATGTACGGAATCGAATTGGCAAGAAATTCCACACGCGCGTAGAAAAACGCGAGGGGTAAAAAGGGTGACAGCTATGCGGTACGGAGTTGTATATATTGAACCTATTCTCGAAAACCCATGTCCGCTCGTCCCGCCGTACAGGATGTGGAGCACAGGGCAGTAAGCAGTGATCGAAAGCGGTCTGGCTGCTGATAAGGAACGCATCCTACCGAGTTGCTGCAGGTTAATCCGCGAAGCGAACAGCCCAGCACAATGGCAGTCCCTATTGCGGACGAGGTGCATCGTGCGTGTGGAGAGACCAATAGCGACCCCAGTGTAATGGCTTGGATGGCAGACAATGGCAGTCTGTGATAAGTCCGGCTGATTCTTGTGCTTCTGGGCGGTCAGCATAACCCATCACCATGCAGCAGGAAATGAAAAACAATCCTTAGGCGCAGGCGAGGATGCAAAGGAAGAGCGGCACAGGCGAGCGGCGTGAGATTTGAACGTCTAGGTGGTCCGCGGTGCAGCTCCATAACGTCCGGATTCACGCAAGGTATCCCTTGTGTTTGGGGCGCTCGGCCCACAGCGCTGGGTGATGAGCGCAAAGACGTTTGGCCGGGTCGAATCTCAGGTGATTGCTGGCTGTCAACGGCCGCTTGCTCGGCGGTTCTGCCCAGCATCCACGAATAACGTCGACGCCCATGTGCCGTCTAGGCTGAGGGAAGCGGGTTGGGCGCCGACAGCTGTCTAGGCCCACTCTCAGCTGCGGCGTGTGTTGTTGTGGTTCCACGCGAAGCAGCTAATGCGCATCGAGCAGCGAGCAGCGAAAATCAAAGCATGGCAGGATGCGAACACATTCTAGTACTCCGGCGTAGTCTGAAAACCAGTTCTATCGCCGAAGCATGGCGTGTTTGAGGTGTCGTCGTAGGATGCGGTGTTTTGGTGTTGGTTGGCTCGAAATGAGGAAGGCACGATCCAGCCACACAGTACCAGCCTCCCCCGCCTTCACCAATACCCACCACCCGAGCAGACATCCCACTTTAAAGTATACATCCCGGTTTCCGTCGACTATACGTCACTCCGCAACACCGCGACCGTTCTGCAACCCGATCGCAAAGCAAGACGCATCCTGGTCTGTTGTCGCTGCAGGATCTTAAAAGCGCGCTGCCCTGCATTTCCTCAACGCCTTGTCGTCGTCTTGCATCTCTCACTTGGTCGCATCGCACCTGCCTCGCTACACGGCATCAACCAACCGTGGTTCAGCTGACAGCCCCGACCAAGGCAAACTCGTCTTCCCACGAAGCATCAACGGTACCTATCAACTGCCATCATGTCGTTCTCCGGACTATCCTTCATCTTTTGGCGCATCTTCCAGATCATCACCCTCATACCTGCGCTGGGTATGCTGGCGTGGTTCGTCGATTGGTACAACAGCCGCAACCTGCTCACACCCACGTCCATCCTCGTTCTCTTCATCGTATCCGTCCTCGGCGCAGTATGGGCTCTAGGCACCCTCTTCCTCTACACGCGCGCAAAGCACTCGGCCAAATTCGTTGCCTTTATCGACCTTCTCTTCATGGGCGCCTTCATCGGAGCCGTCTACGCTCTGCGCGGCATTGCCGATGCTGATTGCACCAACTTCAGCAGACGTGGTGCTTACAGCGCCGACTTGGGTATTGCTACTATCAGTGGAACTGGATTCGGCGTCGACACCAACCGCCAATGCGCCATGCTCAAGGCCTCGTGGGCGTTTGGTATCATGTAAGTTCTACTTTTCGAAATCGAAACCATCCCCGAAGCTAATCTCTTTGCAGGAACATCATCTTCTTCTTCATCACGTCCATCCTGGCCCTCCTTGTGCACCGCCACCACCGCAACGACCGTGACCGCGTCGTCGTCAAGCGCGAAGTCCACCGATCGCGTCACGGCCACCACTCCCGCAGCCCCCGCGCGAGCCACAGCCGGAGCCGCCGCAGCTACGTCTAAGAAGAAGACGAGAGATGTATGATGAGGCTTATCACGGGTACTGGAGTTGGGGTTTGGGAACATCTGGCAAAAGGCCATGGTCAGATCTTTACGAATTTCTTTGGACATATTCCCCCTTTGATTTTTGGTAATTGGGACGCTGGGATGCAAGCAACGTGGTTACGAAGTTTGTTACGAGGAAATATCCTGGAATATCATGTAGATTAGCACGAACTTTGTAGATAATTGCTTCATTTTTGGCCTTTGGTCGCGAGCGAATCCATGCTCTGAACTACAGCGAAATGAAATGTCAACAACCACTTCCAACAGCAAATGTTTAGCTCACAACAACAACTTTGCCGCCCAATGTGCGGGACAGGCAGGCTGACCATGTTGCGAAGTCTCTTGTACCGGGATGTCCGCTGTTCACTGTTGGTGACGTTGACTCGCATCGCCTTGGTTCTTGCACCCCTCCAGTCCAACCCTCGTGTCAGCGCACTAACGCATTTGACCAATTCCTGTCCGTCAAACTCGAAATACATGGTAATTGGGTTTGGTATTTCTACAGATGCGTCGCGCGTTACTCCATGCAAGCCCTCATATGTGCAATCCGACCCCATCATGATACTGGTACAATACAGTCTTACAGTCCATAACCACCCCGTCTCTCTACCACACCCTGCACAGCGCCATGCCACCCAACTGCCGCTCCACACATTCCCTCGCCTCCAATATCCCCCGATCAGTCGTGACAAACATGCACTCTCCCGGCCTCGTCAAACCCTTCACATAGCTCGACTCTCTTGTCCGCGTAATCTTAGCCAGATCCTCGCTCGTCAGCCATATCCTCCGTGTGGGCTTGGATATCAGCTTCATATTCTTCAGGACAGGCTCGTTCTGCCAGTACTTCAGGCCGAGCCATAACCGTCTCCGCGCGGGGTTCTGGGGTACGTGTATGTCGTGGACTTGTTCGGCGCCGAGTGGTGACTTTTGTTTTGTGCCGGCGGGGGCGTCGACGGGGTAGGCGAGCCAGGGCTCTTCTGCAAGCTTCTGTGCCATTTGCTCGTGTTGCTCGGGGTCTTGCTGCGTTTGGAGCAGGAAGGGCTTGGGTGGTGTGGGCCCGCCGAGGGTCACGGAGGAGAGGAAGCCTTCGCGCTGGAGGCCGAGTGCAATGTTGACGTGCATCTTGGAGACGGGTATTGATGTCAGTCCGAGCCGGGCTTTGGATGCATTCTGCATGTGCGAGCAGACGTGTGCGAGGTTGACGAGAGACATGTTGGCGGGTGTGGACGTGGGAATTTGCCCTCGCTGGGCTGCGGCGGTGGGCGAGCGCGATGCGTGTGGGCGACGGTATGTCCAGTGTATGTGTTCCAGTTGACGGCGAGGCTCAATGCAGGGTGCTGGCTCAATTGCGCGTCGTCGGCGGCGGATGCTCGTGCTCGACGATGCTCGATGCAGCAAATTTCTGGATTGGCTCGGAGGTCCGCAAGTCACGGGTGGAGCAGAGCTGCCCGCTGGGCGCTGGCCATTCGGCAGAGCTTGGGCCGGCGCCTACTAAACAAGACTATAACCCGCGGGCGCTTCGAGCACGACGCAAATAGAAGAGCGCGCAGCTGTTGGCTGCACCCGTGGGGAGCTGAGATGACAGCCTTGCGACCCTATATATGTCTTTGATCTCTTTGTGTTGATGTGAGAGTGCTAACTTCCGTCTTACTTCACTACCTACAGCTGACCTCATAACCCACATCTTGGCTTGGAGATATCTTGGACGCCTGATACACTGCCATCTTACACTAACACCATGCCTCCGCAGCAGGGAGAAGTGTCCCTCTTGACGCTGTGAGTAGTGGTAGCTTTGCATATCTCGATCCTATACTGACTGTGAATAGCTTCGCAGACGTCCACTACTACATCTCCCCGCCTACCCAGGTCCCCCCGCACCACCGCTTCGATAAGAGCTCCTATGTCTACCTCTACCACAACCCTATGCGCCAGAGTGGGCGCATAGAAGTCGCGAACCATGCGGGCACTCCCAACCAGGATGCCTTTTCCGGCCGTGAGTGCTGACACATTTCCCCATGGCACACGAGCTGACATGCTGTATAGAGCTGGACACAGTCAAGATCGAGCACACATACAAACACCCATGTCTGTTCACCCTCACAGTCGACGCGTTCAGGAGTCACAATGGCAGCGCGAGCCCCCACCAAGACACGTCGCAATGGCATCTCCCCACACCCGATCCCTCGAACCAGGGCAAATACATGTACAGGCTACATACAGTGGACTTGTACTTCTGGACACCAGAAGACGCGAGCCTCTTCCTCGACTCTATCCGGCGGGTGCTGCAACCACACCAGATGCAGATTGTGCGCAACCCCAATGCCACACCAACACACTCGGAACACAAGAACGACGCCCTGAGCCCAGTCATCGCAAGGCTGGAGAGCGCAGCCATATCACACACAAGCCGTACTCCGAGTGTCAGCACAACACAGTCGTTCCCCGGTCCTCCCACAGCACCTGCTCCTACATCACCTCCTCCCAGCGAGCAGCCACCCAACTACGCTCCAATGGCATACAACCCGGCTGCTCCAGCCGCGCCTGAGCCAATCGCTCATCGCGAAAAGACACCACCACCGCCAGACGCCAATGATGGCACGGGGCTTGGATCTGCTGCAGTCCACGATCAGCATGCAGCGCAATACGGCAACCCGCTACAAGCTTCGTTCGCGCCTCAACCGACATCAGGGGCATACTTCCCAGGACCGCCAGCGCCCGGCCAGGGCTTCACAGGCCCACCAAGTGCATCGCAAAGTCCGCCGTCCTTCGCACCCCCTCCGTCTGCCCCTCCACCAGGCCAATACAACGGCACCCCACCACCCCCAGCCATGAAGCGAACGTCCACAGCACCAGTCCACCAGTACGCCAACTACCCATCCTCGCCTGGCTTTCCTCCTGCCCCTCAATCGCCCCCCGCGCATTCTGCTTTACCATCACCTGGATTCCCTCCCCAGCAATACCAGCCAATGGCTTCTCCTGGCTACGCGCAATACCAGTACGGTAGCACAGGAACCCCACCACAGGGACAGAACCTGCATCAGCAGCTGTACCGGCCGACGGAGAACGAAGCCGCAGTGCAAGACCACGAGAACCCCAACGCACCGCAACGCAACTCCAACATCGGAAAGCGGGTAGATAAAGTGGAGAAGGGAATCGGCAGTTTCTTGAAAAAGTTGGACAAGAAGTTTTAGTCTATCATGTCATGAAAGCGGCACCCAGTTCTTGTATCTATTGTATTCCATCTTGGAGTTGAATTAGCCAGCGTCGACTTCCATTCAAGTCATTTACTCGAAAAAAATATACTGTATAACTATTTTCGAAGATTTGTTCACGACCGTTATTGCGACCAGCCGTTTGTTCAGTCTGTGCCACGGCGCTGTAGATCAAACATGTGAATGCGATCATCCTGCAGTAGGATGCGCCAATCAGGAGCCGGCGCTAGTGTAGACCTTGAATCTGGGAGATGGCGCCTAAGAATAGCAGCAGGTTTTGGAGATGACATGAGGCTTGCTTTTGGCGTCTGCCGCTGGCTGGTTGTCATGTTGCATAATGCATAACTGTTGAGAATAGGATTGAATGTGTAAAGATGGCAATGCCAGAGGAATTCTTTACTGCATCGTCCTGCATCCTACTGCAATCCTTCCATCTCCCTACCTCGTCGTGCCACAGCCCCTGGTCACAGCTCCATCATCCCGGCAACCGCATCAACACTCAGCCAGGTTGCCAAGACCAACTTCCGGGCGCAGACCTAGCCAGACCATTACTCGCGGCTCTCCCCCATTGTTGTTCGGCCATTCCGTAGTCGCCAAACTATACACCCATTAACCCCCAATATCCTAACCGCATCCACGACATCGCTTCCCGCCGCTTGTTCTTAACGTTTTGCCTTAACTTTCGCACGACACAACGGTTCGACAGCTCCCTAGTGCCAAACAGAACCAAGAAGGCGGGCCTTTGGCAGCCTGGGCGATCCACACTTCTCCAAACCAAGTGATCTCATTGTGAAAACAAGACTCCGGTGACAGGCTCTGGTTGACGCATTTGACGTCTGGACGGGCCCGGTGCATGGTTGTTTGGGTGCCATGTTGTTACCCGCTCGGCATGCAAGGGACGGCGCCCTCGAGAGGAGAGAAGTCTCCAAGCAGGGCAGGACCTTTGTCGTAGTAAGTTTACGCCATCGCTCTACCATACTCTACCACGCACTGGCTAACCCTGCATTCCCCAGGTCGGAATCATCGCCGTCGCCATCTTCGCCATCCTCATAATCACATACTTCTCAACCCTCAAGTTCCGCGCCCCGTACCGCGCCGCAAAGAAAGCACAACAGTCGTCCGCCGACAAACTCCCTTCGTTATTCTCATGGAAAGCGTTCCGCAAGCGCCCGCGCCGAAATGACTACTCGACCAGTCTGCAGGATACCGAGTACCGGGGGAGCACAAGCAGGGCGAGTGGTGAGATGAGCGGAGCAGCAGCAGGAGATCCGGAAAGGCAAATGAACAGCACAACCGGTGCCGGCGTCGACAGAAACACCTCCGTCCGCAGCGTCATGACACTCCCCGCCTACTCGTCCGCCGCACGAGAGAACGAGCGCGTCCTCGCCCGCGAAGGCGAACGCGGCGGCGTAGACACAGTCCTCGAGCTCCCCGAAACCATCGACGAAGAAGAGCGCCAACGGGAAGAAGAAATGGAATCCCTGTATCAAATCCGGCTCGCCCGCCGCATCGAAGCCACCGACCGCGAAGCCCGGCGTCAAGCCCGACGAGAAGCCCGCGCTCGCGGCGACGTCCAAGCCCTAGCCGATATACGGCGCCGCGCAGAAGAAGCAGCCGACCTCTCCGTTTCACAAATGCTCATCGCAGAGCACCAAGCCCGGACCCGGTCGAGAGACAGACGCGTGAGCGCTGTTGCGTATGGCGATCTAGGCGTCGCACGCCACGACGGCACACGCCTCCGAGCCAACTCCTCCGAAAGCGACAACAGACCCCTCCTCGACTCCGCCGCCTCCTTCTCCGGCCAATCCCGCGGCCGCGACGCCCACGCCCGCGGCCTCTCCGTCACTTCCCTCACTCAATCCGTTGAATCCCGCGGGTCCGACGATTACGACTTTGCGGATGCGTCGCGCTCGAATTCACATTCTACTGCTGGGCCTAGTCCTGGTCCCAGTCCAAATACCGAGGGGTTTGAGGTTGTGAGTTTGAATCCGGAGAGGAGTTATAGTGGGAGTGGGAGTGGAGTTGGGAGTGGAAGCAATGGTGGACCGGTACCAGGGGAAGACGCGCCTGCGTATGAAGACCCCCCGAATTACGAAAGTCCGATTAATACGAGGGCGCCGCAGTTACCGGCGTTGAATCTGAATTTAGAGAGACTGCCTAGTATACGCGTTACGACGGGTGAGACGCCTGTAGAGGGGAGAGTGGGGTCGCCGTTGAGGTAATGAGAAACCCTTGTTTGTTAGCAACAATTCCTCGCATTCGAAAAATTTCTTCGGAATCAGCGTTTCATTCTTCATCTGTTCAACGAAGGTTATGAAGTGGCGTCAAAGGGAAAGGAAAGGAGCATATGTATACATAGATAGGGGGGGTGCTCGGGCTGGTCAATGTTTAATCGTATTACATCACAAGTAGGTGCGGTGTTTGTCTTGATGTTCATGGGGTTGAGGCGGTGGGAGAGGTGAGAGTGAATGCTCATGTGCACGCAGGTGGGAAGAGATGAGTCTTTCACTATGGGCGGGTGTACCCAAGTAATTTGGGAAAGGAGGGTCCAAGCGGTATGTTCGACTGTGGTTCTCATAGTTCCACACTCAACCATGGGTTCTGTCTACACCATCAATTTCGACCAACGCCAACCAAATTATATATATCTCTTAATTGCTACGTCAACGCGACAGCACTCACTTCCTGATACATGCTTCCCTCACGGTGGTCGAGCTCGCAGCTTTTACCTGCTGGACTCATTTTCGATCTACACCACTGCATTCACCTACCTCAGTGAAGACGTCACATCTACCAGCTTCAGCGCGGCCGCAATATCGACGGAATCCTTCTGCGCCCATAACACTTAACTTCACCCGGTCCAACGACATCTAGAATGTCTCTCCAGAAGCTATCGACCGAACTCGATGGCCAGATCGCAAGCAGTCTTCTCGGCGACACCAAAGCTCTCAGCGCCTTCTCTAAGACAAACAAATACTACCGTGGTATTGCTGAGCCTTATCTATTCAAGAATATTGAGGTTGCCGCTAACGATGTTGAGACGTCGCTACGGTTACTCTTCACATTGTTGGACCGCAAGGAACTTGCGCTCTACATTGGAAGCTTGACTTACACACAACCCGTACGCCGTCAGGAGGTCACGAACCGAAGTTTGAAGCAAGAGAAATTGCGTTCTGATGTATGGAAATACCAAACCGCGATACAGGACAGAATGGACGAAGTTCTCTTTCCAGTCTCCGGTTTGCCGCATATTCTTTCAACGAAATTGCGTTGGTGTAGTGAAATCATGACTTCGCCCTTGGGAGGTACTTCATCCAATGAATCGGCAATGGCTCTTATTCTGTGCCATGCACAGAACATTCGATACCTAGAATTCCAAAGGCGTCCATTACCTTACAGGATATCTGCCGTTTTGGGTTTAGAGTGGAGGGAGAATGAAGGCCCCTTTCAGAGCCTTTGGCATCTTAACATGAATGGGGCTGTGCCTTATGGGGATACCGTTATGGTATTGCCCGCCTTCCGGACCTTGGAGATCAGAGTCCGGTCTTTCCGACCATTTTCTACCGCATCAATGTTCGAATACCCATCGGTTATGCCCAAACAACCTGTCCTTCGCCGCATACAACTTACTGGAGCAAACAACATAACCCCTGCAGCGGTTCAGAAGATGGTCAACAACCCGGCAATGAGCAACCTAAGAGAGCTTGTGGTCGTTGGTTGCGGAAAAGGCAGACGTTGGCAGCCTGATGGTATACAAGAAGACGGCTTGGTCGAACTCCTACGAAGTTTAGAGAAGCATACCCCACTCCTGGAGCTACTTCAGTGGTCAAATCAGGAGTCAAACAGACCCGAAGGCCACCCCCAGTTCGATACCTTCAGAGATATCAAACACCTCCGTAAACTACACGTCGATTTTGGCCTACTCGTGCCGCACAAAGACACCAAGCTGAAGTGTCTCTCAGATCCGCATGCCGTCTTCCCCGCGCATCTGGAACATCTTACATTAGACTGCTTCAACACGGATAAGCTTCACAAGCTCGTGTCTACATTCAACGAAACAGTCGAAAAAGCCGAAGACATGTCCGAGACTGAAGCCCTTCAAGCCAATCTCACCATCCTCGTCGCCCTGTTCTCTCCTCTCAGGCATCTCTCTCTCATTGTACCCATGGAGACTAGAAACGAGTCTATGAACACCGTCACTTTGCACGAGTTGGATCCGGTGGATATTGTATTCTTTCGATATGCGGCGGACGAGTTACACAAGTTGGGTGTCACGTTGGAGGTGTTCAGTAGGAAAGGGGGTTACGAAAAGGAGAAGAAGTTACTAGTTAAAAAAGGATGGACGGCGTCATTGCCGCAGTATCTAGAATGAGGCCTGGAGTATACATCACCTTGAATATAGTATAATCTTTGAGATGCAGTGTTGTGTATGCAGTAAACAGGGTAGTGCATGTAAGTATTCTTGGACGAGCCTGGAGTGTACATCACTTCGAATATGCTTCGATTGTCGAGATAGAGTGTTATGTATGCAGCAAACAGGGTAGTGCACATGATGATTCTGGGACGAGCCTGGAGTATACATCACCCTGCAGACAGTTTGATCATCAAGATATAACATCGTGTATGCAGCAACCAGAATGACCCACAGGGTATAACAAGACGTAAAGTATACATTAGCTTGAACATAGTTCGATGGTTGAGATATAATAGCGCGTGTGCAGCAAGTAGGAATATGCATGAAATGATCCTGGGACGAGGCCTGGAGCGTACATGAACTTGAAGATACGTCGAATGTCAAGGTACAGCATTGTGTATGCAGCAAGCAAAATGAAGCAAAAAGTAGAATGAGACCTGGAGTATACGTCCTCTCAAAGATAGTTCAATTGTTAAGATATCGTATTGTGTATGCAGCAAGCAGCATCGCGCACGTCGTGACATATGCTAACATGTGATGACATGTGCTAACACGTGTCAACACGTTTCGCCCCTTCTAATATCTCGACAAAGCAAAGACGATGTTCGTGGAGAAGGGGTAGACGGCGCCGTTGACGCATTCGGTGGTAAAGGCTGTGCAGAAAAAGGCTGGGTGTTGGTGGAATGATTCCGATGATTCCTAAATTTACAAAGCATGGGTCGGAATGGTGATGGAGATGTAGTTGAGTACTTGAATACCTCTGGAGTATACATTGCCTTTAATATAGATCAGTTGTTGACATATAGTACATCCTATGTGGCGACCCCATCTGTGTAGTGGCATGCATGTGTCACTCCAGGATCGCGCACGTGATGACGCGTTTCGCGTCCACGCTTTCCCCTACTCTGCACGTGCACTCTCACTAGCGCCTTGCCACGTCACCGCTGCCTGTTGGGCCCATCCTCATCCTTTCATTCCCTCACAGCCACATACATCTGTCGTGTCCTGCAACACCAAGCTACCATCATAGCAGCACCCTCACCAAAAGCCGAGGCTATGATCGACACCCTGCCAAACGAACTGACCTGGTGGGTCATCAGCTACCTGAAACCTCACGATGTGACTCAGCTGGCACGCGCTTCGAAGCGGTATCGCGAGTTCGCGCAGTCTGCGCTCTGGACAAGCATCGAGCTCCACCGCCAAGACGCCCATGACGAATGCTTCACCCTCTCCCACGAGCAGCCTCCCAGAGCCTACCTGACCGACCACACTCCTGACTCATGGTCATATCGCGACCACACCGGACAGGATGCGGAATACGAGTGCAGAAACTAGCAGTTTCGTGCTGCCATCAGGGAGATGTATGCATCCAATGGAAAATCCGAAGCTTGGGGTAGGATCAAGAAATTGACACGACACCTCTGCCTTACGGTCACGCACGAGAGCCCGCCTGAGATCTGGAACATGATACTGTCACTTCCTAATCTCCGTACGATTGAGGTTATTGGCGAGTACTCCGAAGATCCGAAAGGTCCGCCCACAGCTCTAGGCCTCCTCCAGAAACCGGCCGCAACCAAAGTGCAGAATGTACGCCTGAGAGGCTATGTTCCCGTGGAGTTTGTTTCAGCCATCTGCAGGGCTTCAGCGTCTACTATCGTCAGTCTCGATCTCGGCATTCTCGAAGAACCCCAGCTCTTCGAACCAGATGAAGAGGAGGAGACAAACGACTGGAGGACTCGTCGCAGAACTTACTACATACCCTCAGGCGACATGCGCCATTTAGAGGTGAACTGGCCTTCATTAAAGAGGCTTACTCATCTCCTACTGTGCAAGCCGGGCCCCTTCGATCTACCGGTCGACATACCAGAAGAAGAGGAAGAGAGGTATTCTGGGATGCTACAAGATCTTGAGAAGGAGGCTGCTGAAATGAAGCAATGGGCGTCTCTCTTGAGGTCGGTTCGCCTCACTGCGGTGGAGGTCGTGCTGGAACACCGAGCAATATTGAGGTCCAGCCATGTGATGGATGAGGATGTATCGATCAGGAAGGTACTGGTAGATAGTCCTTTGGATATACGATTTCGAGAGGAGGTTGTGGAGAAAGCTTTCGTTGAAGGATGGCCAAATCTTAAGACGTTGATATTCAGAGGCATGGGCTCCTCATTGATGGAGCCGGAGGAGTCTATACAAGAGTTGGTAAAGGACAAGTTGCCTCGGACTCTGTCCAAAATTGTATGTAGATCGTATATGTTTGTCGACACGAGTCAAGGCTCTGCACTGAACCAGGATTCTGCAGATGGACTTGTCCCGCTGCTTTGCCCGCATGAGAACCCTTATGGGGATGGAGAAGAGGTAGATAGGTATCTTTGCTGAGGGTATAGTTAGTTTTCAGAGTCTCTACTATTAATACAATGAAGCTGGTACCATAAGTTGAGGTTAATCAGATCCTATGCAGCTACATGTTCTGTGACACACAACGTGGTACCATTCTCAACCAACATGGCGCCGACGGACTAGAAGTGCATCTCGAGTTCGACGGAGAACACGCTCTGGAAGCTCTCTACGATAGTGACAACTTCACTGATGAGGACGATTACGAGTAGAGGAAAACTTCGTTAGACTACTTATACTACCTTTCAACGTGCGACTAAGGGAAATCTGTATTGCGTTGCTGCATACGCAGAGTTCTATGTCCACACATAAGTAGTAGAGATGACAATGTATACCTCAAATTTATGTATATAGTATATATTCCTCACTTTAACAGGATGTGTAGGCAACTCTGTATTACGCTGCTGCACACATAGAACTTTATGTTAATAGATAGAAAGTATAGAAGGTAATGTATACCTTAACGCTATACATGTAGTGTAAGTCTATAGGAGTAAACATCTATGTAGGCATCTTAGTACCGCGTCGTTGCATACACACAGTTGTATACAGGCAGCTCTGTATCGTTTTGCTACATACGCAAAGTTCTGTATTAACGGATAGTCACCGTCAAACACGATGTATACCTCAAGTCCTAATATGTAGTTTGGTTTCTTTAATCTAAGCGCCTATGTAGGCGGCAAGCGACACAATCTCTCTAATCATAAACCCTTTTCATGTAGACATCAGTACCAAAACCCCCCCTAATTGATCATCGATCTAGCATGCATTCCAATTGATACAGGCTCCTGTATAGACTACCACGTACCCACGCAAGAGTAGCACAAGCGAAGTGAAAGTGAAAGCAACACAGCACTTGCCGCTTGCCAGTGACCGTGAGTGCGTTTCTCCGGCATCGCCCCATGATCAGAACAGTAGTGACGGAATGTTACACGTGCTAGCTGGTCCTCACGTTGGGTCTGGTCTTCCAGCAATACCGCAGCCTCTGGAACCCACCTCCACCCATCCACTGCCACGCTCAACAATTCGATCGCGGATTCGCGAGCTTCCAAAGGTCTTCAAGCAACAACGTCTCGCCATACCCACGGCGGTAGTTATACTGTTATGTCTCAGCTACCGTCCACGCCTGCGACGCTACCGCGCCCACCGAAGCGCGCGCATGAAGAGGAACTAGTTGGGCCAAGTAAGCGACAACGTCAACATGGACTTTGGACGCCGCCTGAAGATTCCAGCGACGTCCACGATTGCTACACCCAAACACCCTCGCTTTACATTCCACGACCCCAGTCGTCACCTCTTGTCCATCCTCCATACTTAAGCCCGCCGCATACTCATCCATCGGCTCCACTGAACCCACGGGGATCCAACCCAGGATACGCGCCTTCCCAGAACGGCTTATATACTCCTACGTTAGGGTATATACACGGCAACAACCGACAGTATGGTTCCGGCTCGCCATTACAGCCTCCGATAGCTCCTCAGATGGGTTTCGGGAATCTATACCAAGTCTACGGGCCGAACGTGAACCGACACCCTGCTCGAGTGGTACAGCCTGACTATGCGTGGGGACTACATGAACCTCAGACTGCGCATATCTTCGCGCCAGATCACCCTATGGGGGCTACAGCGGACCGGCAGCCTGGCCAAGATCTTCAGCCTAGGTATACATCAGGCATACGTGTACCTCAGTCTGTGCAAGGTCACCAGTCAAGTCACCCCATGGTGCCCGCAATGGCCGCAAATGATACACTCCATCAACAGCAACAACAGTGTATTCGGCCGATCGTTGGTACACCAGGACCACACCAATACAGCGCTACCCCAGTCGCAGCCACACAGGGTGCCTCTCACCAGACAGGAGTAGAAGGGCCTCATCGCGGTGCCCAAGTCCCCGCTGTGAATGTGCAAGCCGCGCGAGAACAGCCGGGTACTCAGCAAGAGCAGTGGCTCATCAGTGCGCATCCAGACCTTCAAGGAAAGGCCGTAACGATAATTCCAGCCATTCCCGCGAAGCAGGGCACTATCGGATCTGCCGTCGATTATAAAGATGAGATGCTCGTACCACGCGATGTGTGGCGCCTACGCTCCCTGCCTTCCTACAAGCGTTATATCGCATACCGCCAAATGGCAGAGCTAGGACGTCAGATGAGCGAGTATGACCAAACTAGCAAAGAAAATCAGTCGCTATGGAAGCGTATCACAGCCTTCGAAGCGAGCTTGATTGAGGCCGAGGTGGAGTTTGCGAATGGACTCAAGCAAGATACAGCTGAAACTAGGGCGAGGTGGGACCGGATCGTAGCGGCTCAGGCAGTTGGGACTCTAGTCGACCAGGATATGGTAGCTGCGTATGACCAGTATTGCGGCGTTGCATCTGCGACGTCCCCGGTGGATGTGGCAGACACGACCCAACTGCCCATATCTGATCAAGTTCAAGCAGGGCAGATATCACCACCACAGCCCCAGACTCCTAGAACTCTTGCGCCCACCATTACTTCGTCAGTACCGGTAGAGACCATCAGACCAGACCAGGTAACACATCCCCTAGACAAGGTCTCAGTTCCGCCATACCCCGGCGAGCTCGAGGACTTCACCCCGCACGAAGTCACCGGTATGTACAAATGCAACCACCAGTATGAAACCGGGGCCTGCTGCATAGAAGGAGTCACAAAGGAAAGAAAGAGAGCCTCAATCTCTAGGGATAAGTCAGCGTGGAAACGAAAGGTAGAATACTTGGTCAAGAAGGGCGACTTGCATGAAAGCCACATGACATGGAAGAAGGAACAGTCACCCAATAAGGGGAAAGATGAGAAGATGAAGAATGTGGAGAAAGAGCGACTGCGGGATGAAAAGAAGGCGGATGCCACCGCGAAGAAGGGAGCGAGAAAGGAACGGAGTAAAAAATGGCGCGAGCAACCACGCGATGCGACTGATGCAGGAGCTACAACTGGACCTATCGTGGCACCAAACCCGCTCGAGCAGAACTACTCGTCAGCCTCTGAAATTGATTCCGAACTTTCTCCAGAAGAAGAGGCCGCCGCCGCTGAGACTGCAGTTCAAGAAAAGATTGCAAGAGCGCTCAAAGACTACGAGCGAAGATTCAAGTACTGTAGGCGTCTTGAGAAAGTGAAGAAGTGGCCTAATTGGCCACGCTTCAATGAGTATTGGGAGGTCAAACATCTTGAGGCTCAGGGTTTCAAGCTCTCGCCAGAGCAGATAATCATCTCGAAGGGTGATGAACCGTCTGGAATTCCGGACAAGAACCCCGCGTTTGTGAAGAAGAAGGCTGAGGAGATGGTGCCGGCGCTGGGTCAGGAACCAGTAGACGCGGAAGAGAGCGTTGAGATAGACGACTCGAATTTGGATGAATTGTTCGAGGATGCGGAGCAAAACATCGAGCAAGATGCTTCGGGATTGGACGATCTATTTGAAGATGATGGTTCAGAGTAGTAGGGGCTACTTCCGGATCCTAGGGAACTCTCTTAAGAGTGCCGACGTCAAGGGTCGATACCACAAGGTCTAGCAAGGCCACAGCAACAGCCTTAGTGGCCAAAGACAGTGTCGCATAGATGACAGAATGAAAGCCACCACGCGCATGCAACGTCGCCCGTCATTGCTCGCCTGAAGAACAATGTTCTCGCATCGTGAAGTGGTAGCTGAAGTATGACTTAATCGTATCGATGTCTTTCTCACAGCGCTCTTGAAACGCCCCTGTGGTGAATCGCATTGTGTAGGCCCGTGCTCAACACCAACTTCGTGACGTTCTCCAGTATTAACGATGCCGTTGTACTTGGTGCGTGCACGACGTCACGAAAGGAGAACCTAGTTGTAGTTCTCTTCACTCTGGGAAGAATGCACAGATCCTGGAACCTAGATAGTCAGTCCAGTATTTTTATGCAGACCGCTGGGTCACATTTACCAGTAGACACCCCCGTCTGCCTGCCCATCCACGAAGTCTTGTTACCCATACAACAAGATGCAGTCTTACGCGCACAACAAGGGCAACTACGTTTACGTCCGCCGCAAGCGCACAAGATCAGTCGAAGTCCGCCGCGCAGACGATCTCCACCGCCACTCCCTATCCTCTTTATCATCCGATGAACGCATCTTGCATTACGTTGGCGGGGAGCGTAACCGCGTCTGCCGTTGTCACGATGCGGGACGACATGGCGAGAGGACGTCCACCGTAGCATGCGAATCGAGGCATCTGAGCGCCAGCATAATGCTATATCTCGACCGCCATGGCCTTGAATCCTGCAGCTTCGCTGACTTCCGGAAGTATCGCGCAAGCCGAGAAGCGAAATGGGCGATGGAAGGCGTATTTGTTGAAGACTTTCACTATACCAGCCGAAACAAAGACTTTGTATGTCGCTGCTCACAACCAAGGAAACATAGCTATCAGAAGCCGCGCCATCCTGAGATCGTCGAGCAATGTGCGGAGTTCTTTTGTATGCACAAGGATAAGAACACTGTTACGAAAGACCAGTGGAAGGGCGTGAATGGCGATGAGCCACCGGCATACACACCCAGTGTAGACTTGTTATCCGGTTCCGTGGAATCCGGTTCCATGACGTCCGGTTCCATGACATCCAGTTCCGTGCGTAATTCGCGGCCAAGCTCGTCCGGACATACTGGGGAGAAGTCTAGGCCACGAGCCTCGCTAGAGACGAGGATACGTGACACTGCCGAGCGTATATCTTCAATCATCCCAGGCCGTCATCGTAGTGCTTCGATTCCAGCACGGGAGCCAGAGATGCCCCCTCAAGTATGGCAGAAGGGTCGTCCATCGGTCTTGATCTCTCAACACGGTAGCTCTTCGCGTGATAGCACGCCCATGGGCTCAGCTCCCCCATCTACGCGCGCAGCGTCTCCAGCCGTGCCGCACACGCGCCATCATCGGGTCGATTCCGTTCACGATACGTCCTCGATCTATGCAGATGCCCAGGCCACGATGGGTATGTTTCCCGGAATCCAAACAGATGAAAGTGTAGCAAGGGCTAGAGATATGCTGGGTGTGACTGGTCTGTACACGAACAAGACGTACCTTCCCACATCCACTAACCTATCTGAAGTGAGCGGGCAGTCCAGTGTTGGGACCATTAAAAGCGAAAGGTCGCCACCGTTTGCCTATGACGAATGGTACCAGGGCAACCCACCGAAGTGGGTGGTTGAGAAGGACAGCGAAGAGCTACTACCGTCGACTTTCTACGTGAACGGTAATAGGGCGAATTCTTTCGGTCTCGATGCATCAGCGACTCATAGACCAGTGGCAGAACTTCCGGCGCGTAGATCGCCAATTGAACTTCCCGCTCGCAGGTCGCCTGTCGAACTTTCAGGTAAGCCAGCACACCAACGGCATACTGCAACGCTAAAGAAGCTTGAAGGTCGAACTTGGGATACAAGGTCGGAGTTGGAGGCCAAGGCCAAACGCTTCAGCGTTCGGTGCACAGAGGCACCCCCTAGTACGTCCACTCCTGCACACGACACCGAACGATTAAGCTCACGTTTCCACAAGGCTTCCGACACCATCCCGTCTTCACTTCCTGATCAGGTGGATTTCCTTGAGCGTTATGCTGTGCCGAATTCTTGGAAAGATCCTACACCTACTGGGAATTGCCAGTTGTGCTTCAAGTCTTACCATGACGCGGACAAGAATCCTGTCATAGCACCTCCCTGCGGTTGCTCCATGCATGATCGATGTCTCATGGACAATCTGCGTACGCTTGATGAGAAGGTCGGCAGGTGCCCAGTATGCCAGGTGTACTTGTGCAACCGTAGTCTAGCCGAGCGCATCGGCAATGACATCGAACAGATCTTTGAGTTGCAAGTCAATCCATTACGAGAGGAGGTCACCCTCGAATTCCCACAGCGGAGTAAGGGCATCATATGTAGTACGGAGGAGGGCGTTGCTGTCACGCAGCTTCGTCTACTCAAGGACTACGTCGATGTCCATGCCGAAGAACTCTTCCGTCTATGGGAAGGTAACCGTGCAGAGCCCGACTGGTTTGGAGGCGTGGTGCGTCCCGCTGTCCAACTCTTCCAAGGGTGGAACCCCGCTATGCGAAGCCGCTTCTTTTCAAATGAGGACGCTTTCCTCAAACTCCTCGCATGGGCAGAATTGGTGCGCTTGATGAACATCAGCTGTGCGAAGAAGAAACAGTCCAAGCGTACCAATGCACAATTTCCGCGATTGGGAGAGTTACATCGTAAGTTTTTAAAGGCCGTTGAGCGATACAACAAAGAGAAAACGTCCTGGGATACGAGTCGCTCTGGTGTTTATGAACACGACAGGATCGCGACGGATATTGTCGAGGTCACAATGAACACTCAGGTGCCGTAGACAATCATATAAAATACTACAATTGTAATTAGTTCGCATTCATCGAAGTATCACAAAGCCATGGATCCGAAAGTACATACGCGTCGTGGTCCAGTTGACAGCTGCACGATCCTCATCCCGGCTGGTTTGCCCTGCGGCACGCATCACTCGTTCGCGACGTGCCATTTGATCAATGCCGACTCGACAGGACGTGCGGATAATATGATCTGTAGTGTGAAGGGTTGGTCGCGCCTCGGCATCGTCTGATGGCGTGATAGATGAAACAAGACGCGAGGCGAGGAGCTGAATGAAAGCGCGGCGGTCCGTGCACGGAGGAGATCCACCGCGTCAGGTGCAATGATCATCTACAAACATCGAGCTGCACTCTGCCCAAGACCAATGCAATACCGGATGCTACGCTTACGTTCACTTGCACTTGAAAGTGCTGTGTTAGGAATTATGGCTAGGCCTCATGTTGAAGGGCAGAGTCATGACGTCATACCCACTTGTCCTCTCGAACTCTCTACAGACGAACCTGAGCGCGTCGCTACCTACTCCCATATTATTCGTGCCTCGACGATGGACAACCAATGCGTCCTGGAACTACCTTCGTCAACGCTAGACGCGAGCGCGCCCGTAAATTCATCAACATGTGCATAGGACGCCCCTTGCCATACCACTCGTCCGCACAATAGAGCTGCAATACTGTGCACTCAGCTTATAACCACCCGACTCTCAGCAGAGTGACGACCTTGGGACGCACTCACAAACATCAACCTCACATTACCTTCGGCAGTCATTCGTGAGAACACTACATGGACCAATCTCGAAGTCGACCAAGCCTCCGGCTATTCTCCCAAGGACAAAAGGCACTGGCTATAGCACGGCCACCGTATACCCTGCCGGATTAATTACTTCCAAACGTCCGCCCGCTGAACGACAGACTCCCCACATCATTTGCGCTCGTCGCATTGACAGAGCAGCCGCCTCTGCTAAGATTAGGAACTAATTGCAGTACGCAATATGTCCGGAATGCTTAATTCGAAATGCCAGATGAAGGGTTCAAATACCGGTTGTCAGCCGCCTTGCGACAACATTATCCCAGTCAATTGAAACTTTGTTTCTTGCCATGATGTTTTGCACATCACTTCTTTCGGTCGCGTTTGCAACGCTTTCTTTAATTTCTCCCACCGTTAACGGTCGTGCAATTGATGCGATTGGGAAGAGACAGGATGGGTCGCATTGGATCAACACCTGGACGAGCATGCCGCAGTTGGTGGAAGCGAGCAACATGCCGCCTGCGCCTTTTGTACGCGATCCGAACTGTCCAAGAAACTCCAGAAATCCTAACATGATCGCAGAGCTCTGGAAGCGTAATGCGCGATGCGACGCTCCGCCAAACCCTCCACATGTCCGTTGGCGCACCCAAGATCAAGATCACCATTTCCAACACTTTTGGTGGTTCCGACCTTCCTATCACCGCAGGCTCTGTCGGTCTTCCTGCAGGTGGCGCTGCGGGCGTGAGTGGCATGCAAGCTTCACCCCTAGCAGCCATCACCGTTGGTGGCAAGTCTAGCTTCACCGTACCCAAGGGTCAGGTCGTTACTAGCGACGAGATTGCCTTCGAAGTCAAGCCTCAAAGCATGCTCACTGTGAGCTTGTATAGCCAGCAAGGGCAAAGTGGAAGCAGCATCACTGGCCATCCCGGCAGTAGGACTACGAGCTGGTTCGTCAGTGGAAACAAGGTCAATACTACCAGTTTCTCCGGTACATCAAGTGTGCACTGGTACTTTGTCAGCGCAGTACAAGCCTACGTACCAACCACCACGCGCTCTCTGATGGTCCTCGGTGACAGCATCACCGACGGAAGAGGTTCAGACGACAACAAGAACAACCGGTAAGCACTACTCAACCCCGCAAACCACTTCCCGTCTAATACCACCGCAGCTGGCCCGACCTCGTACTCGCCCGTCTCCAATCCATAAACCACACCAACATCGCCGTTTGCAACCAGGCCGCCGGCGGCAACACCGTTCTAAGCGGCGGTCTCGGCCCACCTCTCCTGACAAGGTACAAGCGCGACGCCATCGAGCAACCCGGTGTAAAATGGGTCATGGTCTTCGAAGGCGTCAACGATATCGGCGGTAACGCCAACACCGCTGCTGCGCAGACTTCTGTTGGTGACCGCCTCATCGCGGCGTTCAAGCAGATCGCTGCTGATGCGAAGACGGCTGGTTACACTACTATCGGCGGTACGATTGCGCCTTTCGCGGGTAATGGGTATGCGGGTGTTGAGAGGGAGAAGACGAGGAAGAGGGTGAATAAGTGGATTTTGGAGAGTGGGAACTATGACTTTACGGTTGATATTGCGAGTATGGTTGCGGATAAGGCGAATCCGGAGAAGTTGGATAAGAGATACGACAGCGGTGATGGGTTGCATCCGAGTGTTGCGGGGTATCAGGCCATTGCTGATGCTTTTCCTGTTGAGATCTTCAAGAAGTAAATATCAGAGTCTCATAAGCGAATCTATTGCGATCACACTCGATTTGTAGCAATTTCATTCTATATTCCGAAACGATGCTTTAGTGAATGGTGCAATACAGCAGGATAGGTATTTATGTTTTCCCGACCTATTAAGAGGTGCACGAACACATCGTCTAGTGTAATTTCTCCTTATGTCTGCCGACTAGTACACAGGAACTTTGGGTCTTGTTGCCTTCAGGCAAATGTCGTCAATCAGGGAGTGTGTCGAAGCACTGTTGTACCCAAACAAAGCTATCTCGATCAATGGATGCAGCTTGGCGAAGTTCGCACACCAACGTCTACCGCCCATGCTTCCACGTTTCCACGGTGGGGAGTCGCGTCCACGGTTCCCCGTCTCGAAATATTCATCTTTTATGTCGTCCACAAGACCCTGCAGGTTCAGTGGCAAAAGATCGCGCAGGACTCGACGTCGGCAGTATACGTAGTCGATGTCCGCTTCCTCCGCAAGCTCGAAAGCGGTCTTACCGTCGGCATCCTTGGCTTTGATATCTTCCAACGTCATGTGCTTTACCAGCGCGTGCAGGATCCGCGGTCTGTTCTGGAGCCCGATCTGAACTTCGCTGCAAAGCCAATGTAATGCCGTCCGTCCCCTCCCATCGTAGATGCTGGCATCTGCACCACGCTCCAGAAGGAACTCGACGCATCTCAGATTCCCAAACTTGCACGCCATATGCAAGAGCGTCCTCCCACACGAAGTCCTAATGTCGATAGGCGTCCTGAATGTCACTAGGAGCCTGATGACAGAGTTCAGATTTGCGTTTTCTTTCCCGGCCTTATAACTCTGTCCCCACGGATTCCATGTCGGCTTATCGGACCGTGACCATGAAAAGAGCTTTCTCATGGCGATATGTATTGCAGCCTCACCATTGTTGTCCAAAATGCTGGGATCGATCGTTTGAGGTGGCTTGCAAAATTGCTCTAGGAGGTCCCATATGGGCTTCACCAGCCAGTCGTCTTCGACACATGTGGCTATCCAGTGGAGCATGGTGCGACCGTTCCCATCAACCTCACTTGATGATCCACCCTCTTGAAGGAATAAAGGCAGCAATCTCCCTAGGATTGTGTCATCGCATCTTGAAGCAGCAATATGAAGAGGCGTTCCGCAGTATTCGGTGATCCCTTCTTCACTCTCGGCATGCCACGATTCGCTGAGATTCATACTGTGTATGTTCTGCGTAGAAGACCGAACTAGGACCTTTGCTCCATTGTGAAGAAGAAGATCGACGAAGTCAAGATCTTTGTCAGCAGCAATGTGTAAAGCGGTCTGTCCAGTGACGTCGTGAGCATTTGGATCAGCACCACGAATCAGTAGCCAACCCATCGTCTCCAACTGGTAGCGGTGTGTGGCATAGAATAATAATGTTCGCCCGTCGCCATCTTGGACATTTATGTCAGTGTCTTGCTCTGTGTGAAGGTAGTCGAGAACATCGGTGAGACCCTGCGAGGCTGCCAGATGGGCGACAGTGACTCTCTTTCTAGGCCAATGGTCGTGCATCGCAAGATATGTATGCTGCAACCACAAGACGTGATACTGTTCGGCTGGATCCAGTAGCCGATGGTGATTTCCGATGAGGCTCAGCTTCCCAATTTGCAGCACGTGTCGAACGCCATGAGCAAGTGCGTACTTCAGAAGGGGGTAATCTTTCTCTTCAAACGGGACCGGGCTTTCGCGATTTGTACTTTCACCTTCTGAAGGGGCCAGAGTAAGCAAAGACTGGAGAGTGTAATCGAAGAGGCGGTGAGCCAAGTGAGCATGTGTGGCTGTCGCCTGGAATCCAAAGCTTTCTAGGCTGTCATCATCTTGAGGGATAGATCGGAGGAAGTCCAGAACTGATGAGTGCACAAGGCTCACTACTTGTTCACCCGCCCAGTGCTTTTTGTCCATGGTCAACAAATCTCCTGCATAGGTGACTTCATCAGAGATGGCCTCCTCGGGTGTTTGGCCCCTTGCGGGATTTGTGTTCACGGCGACGGCGAGCTCGCGAAGTGTGAGTGGCCGGAAAGAAGCGATTACCCATCGGAGGATTTCTATAACTCTTCCTCGTTCACGCTTTGATATCATCAGCAACATGCGACGATACATGGCATCTAGACCACGTGGAAAGGCGTCGACAGTGCTTTCCATGTCGATGACTCGAACCTTTCTCAGGGAACTGATAGCGAAGCTGACCCATAGGTAGGTGCCTTCCGACCCAGAAGATAACTTCTCCTTGATGTATGCGTATGTCTCGCTTGGGCAGCGTAGATCAGCCATGCGATCGTCGATGAACTTGGAGATGTCAGATCCAATTTGCGGCTCGTTGTCGGGTTCAAGACGCAGTCGGGGGAATGCATGCATTGCTTGCTTAATAGAGTAAGGGTGATTGCGACTGACAACGAGAAGCTTCAAGTGGTGAGAAGATTGCTCCACTTTCCGTTCAGGATCTGCATCGTATAAGCTCTTGATCTTCACCCAGAAGTCTTCGAGACCCTCTTCGTCACATTCGTCTAAGCCGTCCATAATGCATGTAATGGATGTAATGTTCTGGTCGTGCAACATCCGAGTGAAGATGGTCCAGAGGGCTTGAAACTTTCTGTCGTCGAATAGACTAGCTCCGTGCTTGTCGTAGTCATTTGTAACATGCTCGAACAGCGATGGACGTTGAGAGAGCAGTTGATAGATAAGGCCGCGGAGAATAGAAGCACCATTGTTTTTTCCGTGGTCTCGACTGCAGAAGAAGTGGACGACATGTGCAGTTGAAGAGTCGCCCTTCAGTGTGCTGACGAGATGGAGAGAAAGCATAGTCTTCCCCTTACCGGCATCTCCGGAGATCCATAGTAGGCTGGAAGACTTGGCGATCCAGCTCTTGTATGCGTCGGTTTCCGAAACCCACTCACAAGTGCCCAGTGTTTTCGGTCCTTTGCGGTCTTCGAGCATCTGCCGATAGTCGTCTGGATCGTCCCCCAGAGCTGCCAGGAGGTCTCTCAGACATGATTTGCGCGCGGAATCCTCCTGTGTAGCTGTGTGAAAATGGTTGATGTTACCGACGTGTGAGCCGTCCCCAGTGATGATGGACCCTTGGTTCAGGGTAGACCCGTGGGTATTGTCCCCAATGAAGGTTGATGAAGCATTGTCGCTCATCCTTGGCTACTCGTCGTGTCTTGAGCATCTCGTGCTAGACATCCCGTTCTCTAATGAGTCGAAAGGTTATGAGTTTGCTGTCGACAAACTCGCATCGCGTGGTACTGCGCTGTCCCGTCTTGGCCCCAGCAATCATGCTTGTATCCGCAAACTTCCACGCAAGCGAGAATCCTCATCGTCGCGCAGACGACGCGCAACAGCAATTTAGGTCGTGCTTGTCGAAAGCATCGCCACTAGATTTTGAAGTCCTCAGCACCCTCCTCGGTATCCGCTTTCTTCCAGAGCTTATCTCCCCCAGCAACTCCATTCTCATCAACACCCCAGGAGTCATTCTCGACTTGCTCCCACCAATTGATCAAAATAGCAGTCAACGGCGTTCCCCAGCCAGGTACAAAGGGATTACCTATGCCGCGACGATACAACACATCCTGACCCGGCTCATATGCTTTTACTTTGGTATCGTCACCTTGCAGAACATGACCGTTACTCCCGAGAGGAAATGGCAGCAGTAACGTGCCGCAATACGAGTAGAAGTCGTCGGGCTGAATGTATAGTCCTCCGCGATTGTCCAAAATGCTAGATCCATGTTGAGGCTTCCAATTCTCCTGGTCGCGTTCGGAAATGAGCTCGATGCCTGATGTGCGCCACGGAAAAAGTAGAAACAGATAACTCTCGGATGTCCCGTGTTGCGGCTCTTCGAGAGTAGCATCGGGGTGTCTGTTTTGCATCTCCGCTCCTACGCGATGGATGAAGTCTTCATCAGGCACGTCGAGCTGCGGTGCGATAGATTTGAATGGAGGTTTTTAAGCTCTTGAGAGGAACGTGCGTACGAACGGCGGGATCGCTGGGTACTTATTCAAGACCTCGGTAGAGATCAAAGGTTCTTCGTGCTTCCTCCTCTTCTTGCGCTGGCGTTCTTCGTCTTCTGTCTGGTCTTCATCCTCCTTCTTTTCCTCTCGCGCGCCAGATGCAGGCAGTCTCTTAGCAATCGCGTCAACCAATTTACCCCACACATCCAACACCTGATCCATCTCTTTCTCCGTACATAGCTCAACTCTCCACCCCTGCGTCGCAAGATTATCAGGTTCGCCAAACCCAGGGTTTTGCGCATCTATAACAAACTTCCCAGATTCGACGCAGTCCCAATAGAGTTGTAGAACTTCATCAAGATCAACCCACGGAAGCTTCATCTCATCGGGTTCATAGGGTGAGGTAAATGCGTCTTCCAAGTAGGTAACCTGCTGCGTTTCCAGATTGTAAACCAGCCCAGCTGGATCATACCCCGTGTTCTGGTATAAAACGATGAGATCAGCGTGGTCATCATCCCAATCCTCCCATGATTGGGTTCGCAAACCGTAACGACCGTGTGGGTTCACGATGCCAACGAGGACTGGGTTGAAAGCTAGATGATTACTAGCTTCGTTGGGTGCGACTAAATCGATGCCAGATAGAAATTCTGTCAGTTCATTGTCAAGGTCGAATTCGAAGCCTGGGGAAGCTGGATCTAGTGAGTGTACGGCGAACCAATTGCGCTGGATGATGGGTTGGTGTTCGGGTGGAAGGTGCGAGCGGGCATGGGCGACAATGCGATTGTGCAACTCGATGGACTTTGCTACGTCCCAACTCATGCTAGAAGTGGTGGCAGAAGCAATGGTAAGATGTTGTATCCAAAGTACCATTAATAAGTTGCAGTCGGATCACCGCAAGACGAGTCGAACACAAGAAATTGAAGGTTTCCAGGCAGAAGCTCGCGCGAGTGTCGAGGGAGCCGGGTAGCCGAAAAACGCACAGATGTCATGGCGCGTTGGGAAGCTGCTACTGCCTAACCCGGATCATCAAGACGAGAGGTCGCGAAAAGTAGATGGACTGGTATTCAAGAACAAACGCTGCAGAACATAACCGCAACAATGCCATCCCATCGTGACCATGCAATACCCCAATCCTAGCCCCAACAAATACCCCATCGACCCATCACTCCTCCATCTTCTCCCCACCCCCAACCACCCCCGCATTCCCCTCGCCCAAATGCTTCAACAACCAACTCCTCTTAAAATACGTATTCGGATGCACAATCGTATCCAAATCATTACTACTCCAGCTCCCCTCCTCCTTAACCTTCTTAATCTCCTTCTTGTGACTCCACTCAAACACTCTATTACACGCAACATGATACCTCTGTTTCCCCACATCCTCTTTAACCGTCTTGAGCACATCCCTATCATTGACACCAACGCGCTGCAACATCGTGAGCAGGTTTTCGGGCGTGAATGTACGATAAGGACAGCCGTGCGATTGACCAGCACCAGGCAGGGCCTCAGTGAGGAGTTTCTGGCAGGAATACGGTGTGTAGCCGCGGCCGCGACGGTTTGCATCGCCGCCCACGTCGCCGTAGGCGTGGCGGATGTTGTATTTGTATTCTTTTTGGAATTTCTCGTCGGTGATGAGCTTGAAGCTGCGGCGCCAGAAGACGAGGCATTCGTCGAGGCTGAGGCCGATGCCTTTGAGGAAGAGGGTGTATTGCAGACGGCCGAAGTGCTTGAGATGCGAGTCGTCGCGCAGTCTGTTGTGCAGGTTGCGCATGCAGAGGGGGAAGTGTTGGGAGAGTGTGTCGATGCTGTTTGCGGTGATGGTGGAGAGACCGTCGATGTTGGCGTCGGAGGTGGAGTAGGCGGCGTCGGGTGTTGTGAAGGATTGGGAGAGGTGGGCGAGGATGGGGGCGAGGCGGTCGTCTTCGTCGAGGCGGGGGAGGGCGCGGGCTGTCAGCTACATGTTTGTTAGTAATGCCTCCTGTGATGTGTATAGCGGAGTCCATACCTCTAGTGCCTCGTCCAGCTTCTTCGTAAACTCAGCAACCACTAGACTCATCTGCTCTCGTTGCGGAACATACGCCATTCCCCTCTTCAACAGCACCTTTCTTTGCGCAACGAGTTCAGGTACCCTCTCCCAATCAACCTTGAACCACTCCTGATCCTCCGTCTTCTTAATACCACTCGCCGCATGCAACTCGTCCCTCAGCTCCCGCTTTTCATCTTCCTTGACCTCTGTCCAATCCAGATTGAGGCTGTTGACAAATTGTTGCCGCTCCCGCAGATCATCGTCCTTGAACCGCAGCGTAAATAGCATAGTCTCCAGCCGCGAAAACCGCCGTCGCAGATCCTCTGTTGACGAAAACGCAAGGCGCAGTATGAAGTGTGAATAGTGGTCTCTCCGCCGCTCTTCCTGTAGTTTCTGACTTCTTGAGGAATCCGATCGCAATGGAAGGTACTTCTCCAGTATGCTCTTCATGTACTCGGCGGTCTCTTCGGGGCCTTTGTTGCGAAAACTGCAGGCTTCGAGTTCGGAGAGGACTGCGTCGCACGCTGTTAGCAATAGTAGGCAGTCATCATCAGAAGTGCATACCCTTCAGCCTGTTGATTGCCCATGTCTCAAACTCTTCCAGTGTAATCTCTGCGGTGGGTGGCAGCGTGTAGAAGTTCAGTCGGTGTTCATAGTTCTGCTGCTGGAACTCTGCTTTCTTGAATTGTTGCCTCTTGGGATCAATCTGCGCGCGTCGCTTGGGGTCAACTCGGGAGTAGTCGTGGCGGATCATGATGTTGAGGTTTTCTTGCCTTGTTCGGCGGCTTGAACGTCTCCACGGTTGATGGGGGTGTCAAAGTGGCAGGCGCGTTCGCGTGCACGCGTAAAGCACGCTAGCCACATGTAGCGCACGCGCTGTTCGCGTGTCTGATTGGGTCACCATTGCTTGCCATGTTCCCAGACCCAGCGGTTCAGAACGGCATGCGAGTCTTAGCATCGTTTCCCTGTATTCTATACGAACTCTATCTATGCCCTTGCAACCCTGCTTCTAGGTGAAGCCCTGCTCTCATCACATCATTGCTCAGCCCATGAGGTCACCCAGCGCGTTCACATAAGCCATCGGAACAGTCGTCGCACCCTCAGCCAGGAAATCCTCCTTTTTGCTAACACCAGTGAGCACGGCCAGAGTTCCGCCCAGCTTCCCGTCGATGCCAAATTGAATATCCGTGTTCAATCTATCGCCCACCATGCATGTCCTGCTTCGGTCGAACTTGAACTTGCCTTCTATCGCGTCCATCATGGCCTGACTCGGCTTGCCCAGCGACAATGGCGCCCTACCGATAGCTCTCTCCAGCGCGGCGCCTGATGCACCAGCACCAGGGAACAGAGAGTGCGCATTTGGCAGTGTGCTGTCGATGTTGGTCGCGAGATATACCGCGCCACGTTGTAGGTACTGGAACGCGATTGCCGTCTTCAAGTAGTTGGAGTGGAAGTCCAGACCACTCAGCACCACGCCGACATCTGGATCGAGCAGGCTGCCATTTGCAATAGCCTCGAAGTCCTCTGGCTGCCTGAACTCGCGCCGGTAGGCAGGGTCTGTACCACCAATGTATGGGACACCTTCAGCTTCAAGCTCCTGTTCTACGCCCGATTCTCCTAGCACGAATACTTTGTTCTTCGGCGCGGGGAGCTTGAGGATGCGAGCGATGTATACGGCGGCGCTGTAGGACGATCCGAAGACTTCTTCCTGATGTCGTGTCAGCCGGTGTTCATACTCTCGGCTCCTGCTTACTTACCACCTGGGCGGGGATACCAAGCTTTTCGAACTTCTTCTTGTAGTCTGCGCGCGACTTGGTGCTGTTGTTCGTGACAAAGACGAGTTGTTTGCCTGGGGTCAGTCAGTTGGAATGTCATAATGCTGCGTGCCAAGTGAGTGTCTTACCTTTACTCCTCAGCATCTCGAGAGTTTCTGGGACCCTCTCGTATAGGTGATCGCCGGACCAAAGGACGCCTATCCTTCGTCACAATCAGTAGATGGCCACAGGTACTATAGCGATCGCAGGCAAGAGACATGGTTGTATGAACAAGGCTGGCGCATACCATCGCAGTCGAAGAGGAAGACCTGAGCATCTCGTCAGTGAAGCGTCTGGCAACCGGAGATTCTAGGCGCATACATCAAACTTGTCCAGGAAATCGTCTATGGCGTTCTTGTCGCCAGACAGGAATTGAGGTTTTGCCATAATGCCGATTGTCTCGTTACAGTTCCCGCGTCAGTAAACACGGACGAAAGATGACACTGGTGGGGTGCTTGGCGTGGACCCTGAAATCCAGCGGAACGATACCGACGGATTCCGAAGTCCCCAAGGTACTCATCACACAACCCCTCATTGACCTGTTTTGTGTTTCACGCTTCAATTCGTTCATTCATGCTATGTTTTCTTGTGACACTATGTTCATTATAGCTTCGATCGATCGAGTCAGTCCACGATAATCTTCTTCTCAAGCTCCTCGAAGTTCTCAAAGAAGCTGTCGAAGAGGTTTACCGCGTGCTCAACATCATGCGCACCACCAGTCTCACGGATGCTGTGCATGCTGAGTTGAGGATTTCCCAGATCAAGAGTACGCGCGCCCATGGCCGCCGACAGCATAGGCCCGATGGTGCTTCCACACGAAGAGTCGTTACGAACAACGAAGAGCTGGAGCGGAACACCCTCCTTTCCTGACTTCGGGTTGCAAGAAGCCGCTTTGGCACGGCGGGCTGCTTCTTGGAGCAGAACGATACCTGGTGAGTTGGTGGCGTAACGCGCGTTGGCGTTGATCTTGATGACGGTTCCCTTGTTCATCTCAGGCCTGTGCTGAGCCTCGTACTTGGCTGGGTAGTTGGGGTGTACGGAGTGAGCCATATCGGCGGAGATCAAGAAAGAAGTGGCGAGGGTTTGCTCGTACGCGGTAGCAGTGTCTGCCTCGACCTTGTCGTACGATGCATCGGAGTTGCTCTCGGACGCTGGCAATACCGAGAGACGGCGAATGACAGCAGGTAACAGGTTGGAGTCTGCTCCCTGTGCTGTTTGGGAGCCAATCTCTTCGTGATCGAAGCATGCGATCAACCGGATAGTCGAATCCTTCTCCAGTGCCGACGAGTCGGAAAGACTCTTGACAAGACCCTCGACGCTGCAATACGTCATCATAAGATTATCCAGTCGTGGAGAGAAGATCAGCTCGTTGTTCAGACCGCCAATGACCGACTTCTGCGTATCGTACAGGACCATCTCGAAGTCTACGATGTCGCTCGGTTCAGCCCCGGCCTCCTCAGCGATGATATTGATTATGTACGGGTGGTGTCTCGCGGTCGGCGCAGCGAGGGGGCCTTCGGTCTCCGCGTCGTTGCCCTCCTCCTTGGACTCTTCGCCCTTGCCTTGACGGTTCAGCTCTGCAGCAACGAGACCAGCAATGGGGAACAGCTGGGTCTCCTTGTTGAACTGGAAGTTCTCCTGGCGATCCAGGTGGATAGCCAAAGTAGGTATTCGCAGGATTGGTCGCTCGACCTTGACCAGACGTTGCTCGATGTTGCCGTCCTTTGTGCGCACCATGGCGCGACCTGCGATGCTGAGGTCGCGGTCAAACCAGGTGTGCCACAGTCCACCACCATATGTCTCGCAGGCTACTTGGATGAAGCCGTCGCCCGTTCGCTTGGATACTGGTTTGATGCGCAAGCAGGGAGAGTCGGTGTGGGCGCCGATCATGGCAATGGGGTTGCCCGCCTTCCATTTGTTGCCGATGGCGAATGCGACGATGGAGGATGTGTTACGGGTGAGGTAGTATCTGCCTCCGG